AAGGTTTGTGAAGAAGCTACAACAGGTTATTGAATTTTTTGGGGAGGCTCTGAAATGAGGAGGGCATCAATCAATGTTCCAACCGTATCTCACCGAATTTCCGGATTGGAAGAAAACTCAGAACGCTCACAATGTTCGGACTTAAAAATTACAGGCCAGGTATGAAAGTGCCGCGAGACCGGTCGATCCAGTAAATGCAACCAGTTTTACGATCTCCGTCATGCAGACTCGATCTAAGGATCACCATGACCGGACCGACCCCTGTGATTGAATCTCAAAATCTCTGCGAACGACGGACAAGTGACGATTTTCTAAATTAACTGCCACTCATAATGTTGCTACTCTGACGTGAGAGTCAAACTACATTTTGAGATGAGCTCTGTCGTTCGTATAGCACCATGCTTTCAGGGGCTTAAAAGGAATTACGACAAGTCCTTGTGCCAGAGGCGCAAAAATGAGAGCCCCTAAAACGGAGCTGTAAAATTGTCCTAGATGAGAGGCAAACATTTGGGTCGGAGTGAATATCTTTAGTGGAACTTTGAAAGGAGAGTAAGACAGCGACTCCGACTTAGAGCAGTGGCCAGGGTAAGAAAGTCGCCTAGACCCCCTGTAATCCCCCTACCCCTAAAAGCCACTACCAGGATTTTAGGGCATTTTGACTCCCGTTAATTGCGAGAAAAAGTTCACAGAGCAACTGAAAAAATTGTTGGTTACGCCACAGCTCAAGCTAGATGAATAAGCAGAATTGAGAAGCTTGGAGGACAAGGCACATAATTGCAGTTTTTGAAGGAATTGATCTAGATATTCATGAACTAAACTATAACTAGTAAGAAAGTATAGTCTGTGAAAAATTCACAACTAAAATCCAACTTGAAAGCATCAAAAAGTGAGCTTAAACTTCCTTTCTGCCATAAGGCTCCTTGCAATTTTGAAACTTTAAACACGTATTTCTTGAATTGGCAAAAACTGCACTTTGGCGCCATGTCCTGCAAGCCCCTCAATTTCCATTCTAACAGATTTGGAGAGGGTATCATTTAGGGGGATGGGCCTCCTTCAGGATCTGGGGATTTAAGGCTAACCAGAGGAAATAACGCTATCATCAGCAGAGAAAAAAGATGGGTCCACTCGTTTTGTTCAAAATCTACTTTGGAGCAGAACAAATTATTTCAAAATCGAGGTCGTTATGACCGTAATTTTTTGATTTTAGATAAGGTAATTGAATCAAGTCGTCGTTTAAGAAATTCAAATACGCGATTCGGGTTTTGTTGCGCAGAGGAATAAAGTGTATGTGTTCATTCGTATTGGTTGCACTGACTGGGATTATGTCATTGTTGATGTTTGGAAAATTGAGAATTTCTTTGGTGACGTCATAAGTGATGGCGTCTATGGGTCTAAAAACGCACGAGGAATGTGGCTCTATGCCGTCACAGGGAGTCACTGATTTTCACACTTCTAAATTCACTTTTCGCCACTCTTCATATCAGAAAAAATTGTACAAAATTCTGTCACCTCGCCTCATTTATACCACCTTCATAAGTAGCGATACAATTTTTTTCGAGTAAATTTTCCGTAGTGCATTGATTTTATCCTCGCGAAATTATTTTTGATGAAGAAATTCATAGGGTCTATTTGGGTTATACAGTAGTTTGACCACAAAAGGCCAAAATTTGAAGAAAATAGTAAAATAATGAGGGTCTCACATTGCATGGCAGGTATGTTCTTTTCGCGCAAAATCCCTCAACTGAATTTCTCGAGCACTAAGATACTCGAATTAATATCAAGAAATACCTAATTTGCAGCAAGGAAGACCCTTCCCTGAATGCTGACAACTCGCTAAAGATCATCTGTTTTTCAAGCCTTGTCCGAATAGATCTGACGTTGAAAACCTACGCAACGTACTCGCGATTCGTTCAAAATCATAAATGTTCACTGTCGCGTTTGTGATTCCGCGACACAAGGGGCTACTGCGAACGATACGATGGATAGGTAAGGCATTCGTAAATAAGTAAATGGAAAGAAACAACGACTAAGAAATGAAAGGGAATGGTTTCTTAAAAACATCCTAATTACTTAATTCTATTTCGTCGAGTAAATAAAATTATACAGTAAAAAATTGTTTAAGAAAATTTCTAAATGTACTTCTGAAATAAGTTGGTAGGAGGAAGAGAGTTTTCACGGCGTCCCTCAGTTTATTTTTCTCAATTCTCGGCGATCTTTAACTGTTCCTAGTTTTCAAATTGTTCTTCCCGAGAAAATGCTGGCATTAGAGTTTTGGAAAAGGTCAGAATTAGACTGGATTTTTATTAATTGTTATATATACCTAATATAATGGTATTAATAGGAACGCATCAAGCCGTATTTTGCGAAAAAATGAGCCGGGAGAAGTTTTAATTCAAGAGGGTCGTAAATTTATAATGAAAAAAACTTCCAAATCGAGAAAAAAACGTTTTAAACGCGATCTATAGGCGATTAATTTTTTCCTCAGGTACCATTAAATCTTCTGAAGGAAATTAAAAGGTACAAGATGCAAGAAAGTTGTATTACAAGGTAAAATTAATGCTTTTTTATGTATTGGACTGTTGTGCGTGCGTTGTCTATGTTTCAGTTGAAGGGGCTGTTCGAAATTATATTTATCACGATAAAAGTGGAATAAGTTCATCTCCCACATGGAAATCATTTTGTTGACCGTTTGGATTATGAATTTATTGACCATATAATGTGAAGGTGTTAGCAACTTCATGGTGAAAAAAAATGCAATTTTACGATGCTTTAAATTGCAAAATTGTATTGGCGTTTTCGTTGGAATTCGCTGCTTAGGAATAAAACTTTAGCCCTCTTTTTCTCGGTCAAGTTCTCGTGCATCAGTTGGACTACATTTTGCAATTAGGAACTACAATTTCTAACCCATCCGTAAAAACACTCATGAGCGCAGGGAAAGTAATGGTATGCACGTCGTTTCGAAAGGCAAACTGAGCCAAACATTATAGTTCCAAATTGAAAAATGCATTCCAATTCAAAACTTGCTGCAGTTTGGTGCGTTTGCGTCAACCTGCAGCCGTATACTGAAGTCCCTCGTTATTCGCGAGTTGGGAAAGGAGACCCTCCCTCGCCATTCAACAGTTCCGACCCCCCGATTTTCGCGTATTCGTGGATTGTCATCTCATCGGAGGTTAGAAGACTTGATCACAAGGATTTTTTTTCTTCGTTTTTTCGTGATGCTCCGTTGCCCCAGAAATACACACAGATATTTCACATGAAATTTCAAGATTTTATTTTTCATGAAAAACTGCAACCCTCCATACAACCCTTTACACTTTCTCCTTAGAGATAGACTAGGTGTCGTTATTCTGCGCAGTTTCATTGATTTCCCCCAACATTGACACCGAGCCCCCATTTTCATGCTCATAAACCTATAGGGTCTCGTTATCCGCGAAGTTTCCGCGGATTCATTGTTCGCGCTGATTCTGCGGTTTCGTTATCCGTGATGTTTCGGCGGATTAGTTATCCGCGAGGTTTCCGCGAATTCGTTATCCGCGAAGTTTCCGCGAATTCGTTATCCGCGAAGTTTCCGCGAATTCGTTATCCGCGAGGTTTTCGCGAATTCGTTATCCGCGAGATTTCCGCGAATTCGTTATCCGCGAGGTTTCCGCGGATTCGTTATCCGCGAGGTTTCCGCGGAACGTAACCCTCGCGTATAAGGAGGGACTGAACTATCGGTGCACATGCGACCTGAAATATCTCTATCTTTCGTAAAGCAAATGCGCAATGATTGCGATTTCGAGAGCGGAATACTCGAGGCCCACCGTGCGGTTGCTTAACGGCCCATATTGGAGGCGGATGGCAGTAGATGGCTCCTGCAGAGTCAAGGCTGGGCTGTTTACGCGCCGACGGGTCTCGGCTGTCGCGGAAATGCACCCAGCCACTCGTCGAGTCGGGACGCGCGACGCGGTAAACAAAGACTTTAATAAGCCGGCTCTTTGGCACATTCGCGAGTTTTCGCCACGACTCGCCTCCGTATAAAGCTGCCAAAAGCTCCGCTTCGTCATGATTTAGGTGCTCCGAGATATGCAGTTACACGGGCATTGATGGATACTACAATCCCGGGCCCGGCATCATGAAAGCCGCGATCATAATAAAAAATTACTTGTTTACGCTCAAAAGTGAACGGGCTGCCAGAGGACGGTCTTCAAAATCGTCAAAGTTGGCTTGACCTGCGACTGCTTCTAGTTTTACTTCCACAACACCCAGGGAAAAGGAACTTGATTCCCGTGGCTAAAGTGCGAAACCACGTATCTCCGTTTGCGACTTCCGGTCATGCTTCACTTTTTCTTTGGATGGCTAGTCAACTTCATTTCTTGAGAACTACCCTGATTTTTCTTCTCTTTCAGCAGAATATTCCGTAGAAATTTCAAGCTATACCTATAGTTCACTTGTTTCTCTTAGACAAAATAAAATAATAGAACAGCTTCATATTGGTATCATAAGAATAAATAAGAATAAGAAGAATAAATATTAGCCTTGATACCTTGTCATACATCTTTCATCATCCTTGTTAAAATAAAGGATGTATAACAAGGTATCAAGGCTACTATTTATTCTTCTTATTCTTAAAATAAAATAGGAGCAGAGATTTTGAAACACCCCATTGGAGATACGTGGTTTCACAACTAAGCCATAATTTGATTTAGACAGACATTTTTTTAAAATTTGTTTTCCAGAAAATTCCCTATGACTAGTGCACTGAGTAATCAGCAATTGGAGATTTTTTCAGATCTTTCGTCTTGATTATGCGACTATGCGAGCAACCATCGAAGGGGATAGTCAACTTTAAAAATCTTACTAATTTAAATGATGAGTTTCAATTATTTGTGGGTTTTCATCGTTTGCATTGCCAATAGTCTAAATTAGCACAGATAACACGGACAAGTCTGTAGAATGAAATCTTTGTAAACAATTACTTTAGGCTTTAGATTATAATATTTGTTTCTTTTTTTTTTCAGATGGTGGTCTCTCAAAGGCAAGGTGTTGAGCACTTAGTTCCTGCAGTGTCAGATCTGGTGCTGAAATACACTTGGAAGATAAAGAAGTATGGCAAATCATTCTCTTCGCAAGAAGGGTTTGACAGCCCCCCATTCGATCTTAATGCAAATGGAATCAAGACACGGTGGAATCTAGCCTTGCGATACTGGAAAGACCCGACCGGAAAACGAGTGACAAATCCAGTTGTCATGTGCCTCAATTTGCTGAGATCAAGGGCGCCGGAGGAGGAACAAGCTAAAATCAAGTTTCAATTTGGAGTCTTCAATTGCAAAACCAATCAATGGGATTTCTGCAGTTCTAGTCGCATCCTTTTTTACCTCCGAAAAGTGGACAAAGTACAATCAATAGGTTACCGAGATCTGAATATTTTGGATAAACATTTAGATGACTCTGGAGATTTATATCTACAAGTAAGTTAATTTTTTTTTGCAATCTATCCTCTTGAATGTGCCCTTCTCCCCCTGGGCTTCAAAACTTAAATCTTGATTGTATTCTTTTCAGAATTATGTTTAATAAGTGTTACGAAGCTAAAAGGAAGTAGACAGTTAAAGGTTTAAAAACCTTATGGAGAAAGTTACTTAGCAAGTAAAGCTGCTAATATACATCAAAAGTTAACAGGTTGGAAATCATAGGAATAGTTGCAAAAAATTCAAAATTCAAGATAATTTTTGACACTTCATTAGAGTTAAAAAATCAGCATGTGGAATTTTTGCTGGAGTTTTTTTTTTTAAAAGCCCTACCTAACATGCTTCATACCTTGAGAGAGAGAGAATTCAGCAACTCTAATAGAGTATAAGATTGAACTGACACCAACAGAGTATTTTTAATTCTTTAGATATGTTTGTTAATGTTTATGAGGGCTAAAGATATCTCTGTATTTGGAACCTTTGCATTACCAATCTCTACCATTCTCTGCCTTTTGCTTACAGGTGAAAATGCAACTAGTGAGAAATGAGACTGAGAGTGGCAGTATTGCTCAAGACATGGAACAACTGCTGAGAACTGGCGTTAAAAGCGATATTCGAATCCGCTGCGGAAATGAAGAATGGCCGGGACACAGCGTGATTATAGCCGCTCGATCTCCAATTCTCTCCAATCAAATTCAAGACAACACCCTAGACCTCAGTTGGTTGACAGAAGAGGGCGCTCAACAACTACTACAATACATCTACACGGATAAAGTGCAGTGCAAAGAGGACACAATTCCTGCTTTACTGGAAGCAGCAGGTCTTTATGAGTTGCATGGGCTAAAAACACTGTGTGAGCGTGTCCTGATTGAGGTTATCAACCAAGATAATGCTAATGTTTTACTATCTATAGCACATGATTTCAACTGTGAAACTCTACGAAAAGCCGTTCTGGCTTACTTTGAGGAAAATGGGGACACTGTAGATGACAGTGCAATTTGGAGAAGGTCAGAGTACGTCTGTCCAGAGATATTTAAGTTGATTAAAGAAGATGGACTTGGAAGCTCAATCTCTAGTAGTATAGACAGCGATGATACAGACTGCAGTAAACACTCCATAGGGCAAAAACACAACTCTATAGACCGTACGGAGCAAAAAGTTGAAGAAGTTAAAGTTTAAAATATTTTTTTTAAAATAAACAGCATGTGATTATTAATGTGTTTCTGAAATATTTTGCTCTCTCACTGAACCATGTTTCCTTCTTTGATTGTTTTCCTCCGAGAAACGTGGGGTTATCTAATTAATTAAAACTTCACTAAATCTAACACAAGTGACTTTCAGAGAAATTCCTCAAAAATACCAAGGAATCGATTGAAATTCAAACCATGACAATTTTGGGTCCTTTTGTTCTTTGTAATACCCTACAAACTTCCAATGCCCAATAATAGTAATGATCACTGAATGATAATCTGAAGAGAAATTGTTGTGATAAAAGAGTGCAAGTACCATTTAAAACATGAAGATACAGAATGTAAAAAAAAGCAAAAAAAAAAAAAAAAACACATACATTTCAACTAATCTTTTGGGTTTTTTTTGTTCCAAAGATACAGACTATTATTGTGCTATTGGCATGCTGCTGGTATGTTCAATTTGGAGTAAGCCATCTGGGAAATAGTTTTGTAAGGACTGAATCAGTCACTTTGACTGGTTCTAAGATCTGCTGAATCCTTCAAATAGTCTTTGGAATGAAGGGTAGAGAGAGCTCAACTTTAAAAGTATTTTTTCAAGCTACCGAGTGGATTTAGACTTGGTGAGCAAGATTAATTGTCACTCCCCGAAATTTCACACGGAACTATATATTTTGATCTCAAAAATCAGCCAGCCAAAACTCAATTGGGAAAAATTCCAAACTTAAAAACTGGTTCTCAAATTAAAAGTCCTCTAAATTTTTAACGGCAGAACAATATTTGGAGTAAAACTCGATAAATTAAAGCTGAAAAGGCTGGTTTGAAGATTTTAGAATAGAAGATGAGGCCTTTAAAATGAACTTTAAGTGCCATGTCCCCCCCCCCCCCCCTATTGATTGTACCTACAGGCTTTTGTCTACTTAAATTAATGTGTATTATTATTGTAAATATATACTTTCAATTTTGTAATTTATTTGATTGATTAAAAGTTCCATTTTGTAAATGTTATACTTTTTGTTTATTGGTAAAGATTGCCCTTGATTGATGATGAAATTTTTTAGACTAAAAAGTTTAAAACAAAATATAAGATAAACTAAACCTACATAATATTTTCAAAATATTAATTATTTATTTTAATCCATCATGGAGAGGTGAAAATACATACATTTAGAAGATAGGTTATCTCCACCTACTTGTTGAGAGAAAATAAAAGGCAAGTCCTTTACAACTCTTGGCTGTCCCCTAGTGCATCAGGCTATTCAACCAAATAAATGAAATTTGTTTACGGAAAGTATTTAAACCTTCATTTTCTGTACGTGTTAAAAAGATACAGGGTGCCTTCATCAGCCTTTTAGTGTGCCTTTTTAGTTTTTTTTTAAAAAAATTGGGGAGGAGGGAGGAAAAATAATGTTGGCCCTCAACATATAACACTATAACAGGGTATTTACCCGCAGAGACAAAGATTACAAAATTTTGACCTTGCACACCATTTAGAGTAGTGGCATGAGATGATGTTGGATATGTTATGAGCTGGCATGACACTATTTTTCTCACAAAAAAATGTTCATAAGACCGAGATTTCGATTGCCTTTTTTTTGGGAAATCGTTTCTTTTCCCGTACCCAAAGTGTTTTATTCAAAGTTTAACTGTTCTGACAAACATTCATTCAATTGATTAATTGACATACAAACATGTTCGACAGGTAGAAAGAGTAAATTTTCTATTCGGGGGNNNNAGGGGTTGCTCTAAAATCATAAAAACCATGAAATTAAAAGATTGAATAAAAAATCACTTACTTGGGTTGGACGTTATCTAGGCAACATGCGATTGCTTGGAATGTTAGCCGAAGAAATTCTGGTTTCAGTAGACACAAATCTTTAACGCTGTGGATGTCACTATTACCATAGTCAACATAAAAAACCTCTATTTTTGAGTCCTCTGGATTATATTCGTCTTGAACTATCTCAACAATTTCAGCTCGGTACCATTTTTTATCCATTGAAAATCTTGATGCTACTTGAAGACCAACTTCTAGAGTCTGAGAACAGAATGAAAAAAAAAAACATTTTTTTAACAAGGTGAAAAATACAAAATTGGGATTTTCTGCTGAGATTAAGGCAATTTGATAAACAAAATTTAGGAAAAGTTGCTAGAAGACTAGCATGTAGTGAGACATGTGACATTACAGAATGAAAAGTTAGTGCAACCTGATCATTTATTTCCCTTGCGATAAAATGATTGCAATTCCTGACATAAATAATGTTTCTAATAAATAAAATTACATGTGCAAGAATCTAATGATCACGTTGGTTAGAAAATGAGAGTAAGATTGGTGAAGCATCTTTGTTGAAATTAAATATTTTTTTCGACGTGAGTATCTCTTGTTTTCTTATTTGAGGGTGCCAATAGAAGAAGAAATTCACTATAAATTAGAAGAAATGAGTGTGCTTTGTGGAGAGAGGAGAAAGAGAGAAAAGTAAAATATGTGCAATAAAAGAAATTTTGAAGCGCTGGTTGTTGAAGGTTCAGATTAACTGTAAGTATGAGCCTATTAAATCTCCAAGAGAAATAATTATGGCAACAGAATTTTCCGCTATTAATTATTGTGAACTTCGCATTGATAAGCGTTACTCAAATGGCTCGAGTGCTCTCTTACTGGGAGGGCAGAATTTTAGTTTAAAGTATATACCTTCAAGTCGACAGCCTGAGATGCCCGATTTTCTTCCACATTGTAGAATTCAGTCATTTCATCAACTAATCGATCAAGGTCGACAGACTTTCGAGTAATCATCTATGAAACAAAAGAAATTACTTCATTAAAGGAGAAACACATGCAGAAGCATAAAAACAAATGGAACAAATGTAAAAAAGACCATCGAAAGATTCTGAGAGAGTAAAAAACATGGCTCATTATGTAATCATTCTTTAACTACATTTTACAGCAGGAACCTGCATACTATTTCTGGCCCATTTCAGAAACAATGTATGTGTCTGGTTTTTCCATGTAGGTAGTTTCTTATACTTCTTACCTAGAAGTATTAGTTTCTTTTGGCAATATGCAGGTGAATAGACAATGAATTGAGCAAGAATAAATGGACAAGATGACTCATTTTTTTGTTTTCCACTTAAGGTTTGATTGGCTTTTTTATAAATCCCTTTTCCTGAAGTATGAACCATGACATGACTGTACCAAATATAGCGTACTATATTTGGTACAATCATGTCCAGCGGATGGCAGGAGACAGGTCGCCAAAGATGGTCCTTGATTGAGTTCCTCCTGGGAGAAGGCGCAGAGAGCGCCCAATGAGAGGATGGTGGGATGGGATTGAAGAAGAAATGTTAAGGTGCTCTATGCCAGAGGGGTTGTGGTTTGACAGGTCGCAATGGAGGTGAGGTGTCGTAGAGCGCCAGGGAGTGCTATAAAGCGACTTATATGTATGTATGAGCCATAACAAAATGTAAAATGATGTAACATTTCAATTTCTGACCAAATACCTCTAGTTAACTTTAATCTTTGAATTTAAGAGCTCCGTCAGAGAAAAAATAAAATATTGGTGGGGAAATAACGTAAATAGTTAGTTGACAGTAGACACTAATAAAATATAATACAAAATTTTAATACCGAGAGATCCATATCAAGCAGTAAATTATCAGTTTAATAGGTAGAGAGTACTAAAAATAATATTCCTACCTGAACCCAAAATAAGGAGGGATTGCAAACTGCTGAAACATAGACTTGCATGAAACCATCACTGTTTGTCGATATCAACTTTTCTCGAAGGGGGCCAGTGTTTTGTTGCTGGAGAACAAAAAGAGAGAGAGAAAAAATAAAAACATAGCTCAGATCGAACTATTATTTGATAATTACAGAAATTACAAAGAAGCTAGCTAAGCTTCCCTTTTACAGCTGTTATATGTGAAGAGAGCAGATTAAAGTTTTACTAAACGGGAGTCAAATTAAAACTCGGGCCGCACTCTCAATCAGGAAGAAGGGGAGCAACCCGGCCGGAACTGTCCATTGACATATCAGCAGCCGAAAATGGGTTTAGAGTTTGAGAGGGCTGAGAGAGCCAGCGTTCCAATGCCCGGTACTTCTCGGACAATGCATTTTACTCTTAGCCGACCTGCTAGGCTGCCTGTTGCCATGCACTGAAAGTTTTCTACAGAGAAATTTTCCTTTAGGTCAGCCGAGATCTCAAGCCTAAGATCAAACTTGAGGAAGACATTGAAATATCTCTAGAATGAATACTACATTATAATTTTAATTCTAGCACTGTAATTTTTAGCTAGCTAGCTAGCTGTGCTATTTGGGGTATGTTCGATAAATTCCTTCATTCTATTTAAATTAATTGATGATTAAATGTTTTAAATTTTGAAAAAGTAGAGGGCAAAATTTAAAAATTTGAAAGGCTGTTAACAAAAAAACATTTTTTGGAGGTTTATAATAAAATGTTGATTAACTCAAATGAATACTAAGACGCCACTCATAGATTGCACAATGTTCAATGTTGTATTTTTTCGTCGTCTTTATTTCCCACTAACTAGTCTTTAATACACACCTGGAAATTAACTCTGTCCTGTTTTTTTACGAATTACCAATCTAATGATGGATAGACCTCTCCCCTATTTTCCTCCAAACAATAGCTCCTGATTTTACTATTGTGTATCCTTTGGACAAAATTAAAACATTTTCAATTTATCTTGATATAGGAAGCCTGCTTTGTTAATATTGCCTACATTATGATAAGCTGCAACTTATCAGACCTCCTTCCTTCACTTATGAGCATTACATCATCGCTTGGCTGGCAAAAAGACACAACTACACATGCAGATAAACCCAGGAAAGCATTAAGTTATATAGACTACAGAGTTCAAGGCAAAGTGTAGTTACGTTCTTATGTTGAGGGCATGATATCAGATCTGTTCCACACAGGAGATACAGATATTTTGTTTTTACGGCTACTTACACGGGTAAAATTTCTTGAAAATCATGTTGAGCATGTCAGAGTTATAAACATTACATTAAAGGACAAGTCGAGTAGTTTGTTTCACACCTGCAGACATTCTTTTTTTGATTGCCAGCAATCAGGTTTCCTGAGAGTAATGCAAGAAAAAACTTGAGGATGAGAGCAAACAATGTTACAAACAATGTTGCAAACTATTAAAGGTCTTTCTTACTACTAAAGATTTCAATCAAATTAAAGCATTTGATTTTACCTTTTTACAAACCGATTGCAATACCTTTTCATCTAAGTAACGAGAGAAAAATTGTTTCAACAAAAGAAATCATCCATGAGAAAGATTGATGACAATATGCAATATTTTTCCTTACTTATGATAAGTTTACTTAAATCTCTCTCTGGGAAACCTGATTGCGAGCAACTAAGAAAGAATTGCATGCAGTTGCAGTAAATTCGAAGTAGTATAGTAAGAGCAATGCAAATGGGTCCGTTGAGCTAATCATAGAATCATGTCCTGATGGTTTAAGTTAACATTTTAGCAAAGGTTAATAAATCCGTCCTAAAGCTAAATTTGTACGTCCAATGTTAACACAGATATTGCCTTTCAAAACCACACATAAAAATCCAAGCTCTTTAATTTTTGTTGATGCTTAACAACCTCTTTTCTTCAGTGAAAGTTGTTTGGAGTTAAAAGAGTTTGAGATCCAATATTACACAAAAAATCAGCGGCAAAATCAGCAAAAAAATAAGTCAAACCTCTGTATTGGCTGGTGAATTTGTCAACTCTAAATGTTTTGGCTTATTTCGCGGGGAACGATGTGCAGCATTTTGCGAAATTTTTTGCCTCTGCTCAGCCTCAGCAGCGACTTTCTCTGCAATCAGAGTTTTGGCAAGCTCTATCTGTTCAAAAGTTCCTTGAATTTTGATCTTGCTCTCTGGATCTGTTCCGGAGAAGAAATTAAATTAGAGTGGGGAATAAAAATGTGAGAAAGCAGTAAATATTGGCTTAATTGTTTTGAGATGGGATTATAAAGCCTTCATCAATGGAAAACTTGCACAGTACAAAAATTGGTCTTTCACGAGAAAAAAATTGACAAATGCAATGAAAATATTGTAAAGTAAATATTAGTTCCGTCAGAGAAAAATGTTCATAGGGATTTTTTCCACCATTGCTGGAAAAAAGCAAGAAACATGCTTTCCCTCTTTTATGAAGTCAAATAAAACTTGATAGAATAACTGAAAGTCTTTCATTTTTGGCAAGGGATCCATTTTAATATTAAATATAGCTTGATCATAATGTAACTAAAATATCGACGGTGAAACTACCAAACCACGTATCTCGGTTTGCGACGTCGCAGACTTCCTGTCATACTTTATTTTTTAAATGAAAAACTACTTAACGTCCAGTCTTGAAAATTTCTGTGATTTTTCCTCTTTGTGCGGAGAAAATTCTGTGAAAATTTCAAGGAATGATATTGATTTGGTCTACTTTAAAAAAATAAAATGCGAGCGTAGATTTTTAAACACCGCAAACGAGATACGTGGTTTGGTAGTTTCACCGTCGATATGTGATGATAAATTTAAAAGAACTGAAGCATTTGAAGAAATCTTACTGATAAATTATTGAAGGGAGGTAAAAAGATCATTATGACATTATCACAACAAGCTTGTGTGACGAGGTTTTCAGCAAATGATGTTGCCTCAACATATCTATGGAATGGTTTCATCCCATATCATATTAGAGAGATATGTCATAATTACTTTTGACTTGCTTATGAACAGCACAAAAGAAACAGGATGAAGTGAGTTGTTGACTCCAGTTGAACCACTAAAATAATTTAGAGAGCCTCTTCCTGATTACCAGTCTAATGAATGATTGAGAATTTTAAACTTACTAGTATCATAGTTTGCGGATGAGGCAACAGAAATTTTAGCAAGAGACATGGAAGACATAGCCTTGATATTCTCGCCTCCTTTGCCGATAATTATCCCAATTGCAGACTAAAAGAAAAAGAAAGAGCAGGATGATCACACAATGGTCATTGGAAGTACATCGTTCTGAAGAGGTTAAGTTAATTCTCAAATGAAAAATTCATTTTCAGATTGGCAGTAGAAGTGTAGAACTTAAATTCCCTGACTTTTCCAGGTTTCCAATGACCAATTTCCCTTGGTTTTGAAAAAATACCGTAGGGGTCAAGGAAGTTTTTAAGCCTTGCCATTTTAACAATCCTTTTCATTTGAAATCTTTAAGTAATGCTTTTTCAAAATATTCTTCTCCTTCTTTTGTCTCTTTACTTAATTCTGAAATTGTCAAAATTTTTACTCTACCTGGAGCTGGCCTCTCTATTTTTAAGACCTTTTTTTTGCAGCCTTCCCATTATCATAATCTGTTTTTGCAGCCTTTCCATTCTGCTCATGACCACATGGGACCACTGGTTACTCGTGTGGGAGAGAAGTTTCTGCACTACTACTGCACTCATTCAATAACTTTCAAAATAGCTTCAAACCACATAAGTAGAACGTGTCTGCTCTATGTATGTCAGTAGTTTATAGAAATGTATGGTGTGATGAGAGATTTAAGGGAATTTTGAAGAAAAATGACCTCCTCGATGATAACTTTGGGTGAAAAGTGTGACTGGGGGAAAATAGGCTTACACAGAGAAAAGCTGCATTAGAGCAAGCAACTGGCGAATTGAGGCACTAAGTGCTTCTGTGCTTGGCCTTGTCAGTGCATAATATTCCTCATATTTTCTTCTGCTTCTGCAAATTCCTTGTGCATCTTGTTTCAAAGGATTTTTCCCCCCCATTTCACTTAAGAGAAAGCACCGCTGGAAGCATGAGGAGTTTTGCACATATGTGCAGAGTAAACCAGCAATGGGGCATCTTTACCAGCAGCAGGAAAGAAAGAATTGATCATGAAGAGCATTGGACTGCATTTTGAAATAAGGAGCAACAATATCTGACTCATGTGTCAAAATATCTATCTGGATAGAGAAATTAATGGCAAATATGTTGTTTCTAAAATGAGCCAGAGATTGTAGTTTCTAATTGAGAAATTTTTTTGAAAAATTTTGTATGGCCGTATGCATGGTTTTCTGGAGGATAGCTTTTCTGGTTTCCCCCTAAACTCCAGGAATTTGTTTACGTTACGTTTGCAAGTGACCGCAATGTAGTCGTCCGATAAGGATTGAGGATTGATTATGCTCAAGATCAGGCTGCAGTAAATCCTTGGTTGCTATTGGCTGACTGCATCACAATCGCTTGCAAGCAGAATGTAAACAAGTGCTAAATTAGCCGATGACACCCCTACTGTTTTTCCTGTATAGATGCCTGCCTCTAAAGTTCTGCCTAATCATTACTTTCTGTTTTGATACAGAAGCTGTTCTCTTAGGAAAGGGGGGTAAAATAAAGAAAAATTAATCGTTTGATGTATTATCATACCTTTGGCACCCAAATTTCTTCAGTTTCAACCAGCGGCTGGTTTTTGATGACTTCAAGGATCATCGATTCTGCGAGTTGGGCTGTCTCTGGAGTACCTCTAATGATACAAGTGCGATACTCTTGATTCTCATCTGTTATGAAAAACCATAGTATAAGGAAATTTGAGAATTCAGCATTAGGTACTTAAAATTATTATGACCTGACAATTCAAATGCCCTAATTTTTCAAATACACAGGTAGACTAACCAGAAGGCCATTATAACTGGTGTACATCAGCGGTCCGTTGAGATAATTTAAAGCAGCCCGATTAGACATTGAATTGTGATATAATGCATGGTTAAGATAGGGTTAAGTATGTCTTGTTGTGTCAGGCTGACAAAGTTTCAATAATCGGGGCGCAGTACCTGTTTACACATCAGATCAGGTCCCAACAAAGTTTCGAATGGTCCTAATGAAAATTATATATTTTTCATGGTAAAAATGTGAATGTTGATTAAAATTTCCAATATGAGACATGAACAAAAATATCAACTTCCTTTTGCTGAGCAGTATGATCGACATAAAATCTTGTCTAGCTTTCATTAATAACAGTCTGAAGAGGTTTCAGTCAGTAATGATGGGAAAGAGATAATAGAACAGCAACGCTATTGAAAGAAATTGAAGAATCATCATGACACTGCTGAGATAATTTGTCTTTCCTGACCAACGTAATCATGCTTTCTTCCTGTGTAACAACTTTAAGGACTTCGACCTTCAACAGCTTGAAAACGTATGGGCTTCACGTAAAATCTGATGGTTTAGGCAACATTACCATTGAAATTGCGTGAGCGTGAAGCAAGGGGATACAGACTACAGATTGCAACAGGTTCCTTCATTTACCGTCTTTGAAGTTTATTCTGGTTTCAGATTTCTGCTGAATAGACTTAATGGTAGAACCACCTCGACCTATGACAATGCCGATGGACTCCTTCGGTACCCTGACTTCAATTGTGACATTCCTGGATGTTTTCACTCTCAGTTTGGGTTCATCTTCCTCGTCCTTCTGTTGAGTTAGAATATAGACCGCGTACGCGAGGCTAACTGTAATTCCTGCAGTTGCTGACAGGAGCAGCAAAAGTTTGGTTTTTTGCCATGACATTTTAACGGTAAGTTACCAAGAGTGAGTCAAAACTTCTATCTTCAGAGAAAAACTGTCACAATGACGGTGTTTCGTCGCACGGTGATAACGCTTCGAAATGCATGAACTAGAACTACACAACATTAAAATCTAACCTTAAAATTTGATACCGCATGATTGTTTTGATTTGAATTTTTCCGGACACGACCGAACCAGCACGGAAAAGAACGAATGAAGCGTAGCGTAGAAGCGGTTTCGTATATCATTGTCTTGCGGGAAGCTAGTTCTCGAATAGAAGGAGAATTTCGTTCGGTCTGAATGCCGTGCAATGCAACGGAAAGGAAAGTGTGCGATGCGATGACGGTGCGGTGCAGCGCAGCGGTACAACTGTTCGTATGTATGTACTTGATGGATGTCCGTGTTACATCTGCAAAATTGAAGGCGCGATGGTGCAAGGCGATATCAGTTGGGTCGTTGTCCTCACTTCGTTTGACTCATCCACCTATAGTTTTAACGTTGGGAGCGGTAAGTAAAATCACTTTATCTTAAATTGTCGAAACTAGGAAATCGATGGTAGGAAACTGGGCTGGAGGGGAATATTGTTATGTTAAGCATGGGTGGGGATCAAGATGGGTCAGGGGTGAAACCACGTATCACGATTGCGATGATTCAAAACATCTACTCCTATTTTACTTTTTCGAAGAGAGACGAGCCTTTAAAGTTTCAGTGTTGCTTGTTGCTCAGCTCTCTGTTATATAATATGTGAAAAATAGGACACTTTTGATTTGATTTAGTTAGGCTAATTCCGGTTAAATTGGTTCAAAGATAGGAGTGAGATGAGTCAGATGGTTTAACTGTATTGCAACGTTTCAAGGTTTCACCTCAGAAGCTGATTATTAAGTATCGCCTATCTCGACGTAGATACCGGTGGCCTTGAACCTAACTTGGTAAGTTTTTCGACTAGGTACCTACCGCTCTCTTTTTGTGGTCGTCACTCGATTTAATTTGCGAGGGAACTTCGTGCTTTTGAAAGATGCCACCAAGCATGATACGTTGGGTTGCTTTCAATATCGTATGATACTGTGCGACACCTCACGAAGTCCTAGTATCCGTATTCAATAACGTTTAGCATGATTTTTGGATTTCATCAGAGGAAAACGTGACTTGATTCAAGCAGAATTTTTTTCAAACCCACCTAGAAGATTTTCGCACGAATCAATAAAGAAAATAATGCTTGTACAAAGTACAAATTCTTACAGTACAATATTTCTTAATGTACAATATTTTAAGTTAAGTTCTATATCTTAAAGTACAATATTCTTTGTATAAAGAAGAAAAGATGCTAATACAAGAATAAAAGTCACTTACGTCAAGCAGGAACCAGCTTTCATTCAGCGATTTTATTCTTGACTCAAAATAAAATCTTTTTGACGGCATATCGACGGTGTAAGTCGGCAATCACATAACTCGGTTCGCGACGTTGTAGACTTCCTGTCATACTTTAGTTTTTAAACGGAAAACTACTCAAAGGCTATTCTTTAAAACTGCCGTGATTTCTCTTCTCTGTGCGAAGAAAATTCTGCAAAAACTTCAAGGAATGATGTTAATTTGTTCTCATTTAAAAAATAATATGAAGGCGGAGATTTTCAGACACCGCAAACGAGATAATGTGATTACGGACTTACGCTGTTGATAGGTATACTCACGAATGTATCTGCTTTTATCAAGTCACTTTTTTCTCTAATGAAATTCAAAAATTATGCTGAACGTTATTCAGTATGGATGCTAGGACTAAGTGAGTTTTTTGGAATACCGCTCTCTTTTTGTGCCATAGTAGTTTGATTTATTTTGCGAGGAAACCTCTGTACTTTTAAAGGATGCCTGTCATTCTTGATACGTCTTCAATTTTGTATGATACTGTGTAACACCTTTGTCGCGAAAAGCGGCGCGGCGGGTAACTAGCGTGACACGACTGACACGCGCGCTAGCGTCAACAAACCTAACAGGGATACTTCACGCATTGCGCAATGCTTGAAGTATTCCTGTTAGGTTTGTAGGCGCTAGCGCGCGTGTCACGGCAATGCGTGAAGTATCCCAGTTAGGTTTGTAGGCGCTAGCGCGCGTGCCATACTAGTTACCCGCCGCGCGCCGCTGTATGACCACTAAGTGGGGTTTTCTGGTCAGAAAGATATCCATTAATTAATCGAGAAGAGAACAGCATGCTTTTACATTTTTAATATGAAAAGCCATTTATTAGTTCAATTTGAATTAATCTTTGAAATACCATTTCATACAACACAGTATACACTCATACGCTACTTATATACGCTCAATGAAACTATAATATCGTTGACCAAAGTGCGCAACCACATATCTCCTTTTGCGACGTTGCAGACTTCCTGCCATACTTTATTTTTTCCTTGGAAAACAGTCAACATAATTTCCTGAAAATTTTCTTGATTTTTCTTCTTCATTAGCAAAATATTTGCTATAAATTTCAAGCTATGAAGTTTGCTTGTTTCTCGCTAAAAAATGAAATAGGAGCAGAAATTTTGAAACACGGCACTGCAGGTATGTGACTTCGCATTTTGACCATCGATACTTGGACCATCTCTAAGGATGTTTTATTCTAATCTCTGATGGTAGCTAATGGTCAATGCACCTTGGAGTACTTATCTAAGAAAAGTACGGCTACTGGGGGATCGAATTCTGATTAGTTCAGCTATATTAGGCTTAACGGGGCTTGTAGGATAAACAAAAATGATGGATGTTGCATGTGTAAAATTAAAAAATGCAGATAATGAGGTTTTATTTGCTTATGACCGTGAACTTTATTGAAATCACACAGTTATACGTATTTCCTCAATTTTGAAACCAATGTGGTGCATTATATTTAAAAACAAAATTCAACTTGAACCTCTTGACAAAGTCGATAACAGGTGCAGCAGATGATAAAAATCAAAGGTTGACAACATCTTCTTCTCACCTTTTCTCATTCCAAATATCCGCCATTTTCCTCTATTCATTTATTTAATTTTTTTTTCATCCCGTGAGGTCTCCATGAGATGTAACGGTCATACCTTCCCTGAATAGGTATCACAGATACATAGAACCTAATATCTCAAGGTCCGCAGCAGGTTAGCGCCTATGAATATTCATCTTTGTTCAATCCGCAAATTGAATCCAGACATGGGCCACATCAAGAATACGAGTTTGTAGTCCATGTTTCTCATATCATCTGGGGGTTTCTCATCAGTCGAAAACTTGTACCGGAGCAAAGTGTTGGCAACGAGAAATTTTATTGACCGCATGGCATATAGGTTTCCTGGAAAAAATTATGCATAAACTGGGATAAGCAGAGGAAATTCAATGTCTTCTTGATTAATATTCTGAGTTTTGGTATATTTTGAGATTTTCGGTGCCTTTGTGCGCAGCACTGGGATTAAGAGACGCCCCTTACATTGAGAGGATCTAAAGAAAGAGAGAGAAGGATAATTCTTGTGTAAAAATGAATTTTGAGTCTCCAACAACGGAGGCATGAAGGGATTCCACAAAAAGAGCACTGAAAAAAAAGAGTCTTGATTACTTTTGGGCTACCCCAAAAGTATCAATATAGCATCAGCACTGGAAGATGCGGGCACCTAAAGGAGCATTTGTGAACATTACCTGGGCAAATTCTGGGACCACTTAAGAAAGGGATGAACGCTCCTTTTGGCCTGCTCTTTTCTTTTGCTGGTGTGAAATGCTCAGGATAAAATTCTCCTGGTCGTTCCCACAGCTCTGCATCGTGATGTATAGCGTAAATGCTCAGCCATACGTCCACTCCTGCTGGTATTTTAAACTTATCTGTGAAATAAAATGATGGCAACACACATTTCAAGAGATAACACTTATAGGGAGGGATCAATATTGCAATCCACCTAATAAAATGACCGACGCTACACATGGGTACATGAAAACCGCTTTCCCAGCGCTCTCTAGCGCTCTGCGACACTTAGCCGCCAAAGTCTCCTATCCATGCACTCAAAGCCCCTGAGGAAGTTGGGACTCCCTCATTTCCTCTAAAACCTCCTGTCGCCACCCTTTCACTGGGCGTCCCCTTCGTCTTCTCCCAGGAGGAAACCAATCTAACATTTTCTTTGGCAGCCTCTCTTCCGTCATCCTGTTTACATGACCACACCAGACAAGCTGTTTGGTCGTGACGTCGAATACGATGTCATTTCCGACTTCCATGGTCCGACGTACTCTGTCGTTGCTCCATCATGGCCTACTCTTTATTATCTAAATTTTTCAGCATTCCATCATTGCCCAATTAGTATTTTTCAGCGGAAAAATTGCAATATTTTGAAATTAAGTTGCGATTTCTTCACGATTTTTTGTCGATAAAATCGCTAAGATAATAGACATTTAATTCATTCAAGCGATTATTCTCAATCTTGTCGCAATTTTATCTCTACAAAATCGCGTTCGATAAAATCGAAATTTTATTTCGATCTATCACGATTTTCTGAGCGATATTATTGCAATAAATGTCCGTCAGTAAAATCGAGATTTATTGCAAAATGCGATGATATCGCAATTTTTTATCCGATAATATTGCAGTAAATATACGTCGATAAAATCGCAATACATTCTCCGACCGAATCGCAACTTATCGCGATCACTGCTACTCCCGTTATGAACTTCCATTGAAACTTTCATTACAGGTAATTATAAATTGTGTTCTCCGAGGATAAAAACGGAAGCATTCACAATGCGAAAGAAGTCCATCTATACGACGCGTTTTGAATGTGGGTACTTGATACACTTCATTGGCGTGGTGTGCTTTGCGATATATCGATTGTTATGCCACTTAAACCTATGGAAAAGGATCGATAAACAGGGTGTTCGCAGCGAACACCTTGATAATCGATTCTTTACCATAGGTTTAAGTGGCATAACAATCGATATATCGCAATTCACGCCACGCCACTGATACACTTATTTTGTGGGGAAGAGGGCCCGAGTATGTTTACGTTTATGGTTAAACAGTGCGTGATAGTCAATCTACTGGAGGCTCAAAAGTTACCATTCACCCGAAGATCCTCAGTAATTTTTCGTCCTGTGGCAGGGACGCTGAAGAGTCTCAGTGTTTCTTTGATGATCATCTCAACGTAATGAAGCTGGGAGAGTTCTTCGGGCATCACCATCTCTCTCTTACAGTTTTCCGAGATTTCTTTGTAGGCTCTGTCTTGAATCTCGGGAAACATCGCCACCATCTTGAATATCCACGAGCTCGTGATCGCTACGCTTAAGGAACCCTGTGAAGAGGTAGATTAAGATTGTACTAGAAAAAAATATTATAGTTAAATGCCTCACCTGACGTTGAATTAATATGTGACGGAGTCAGACAAAGTGTGGCTTATCGATTGGCAAATAAACAGTAGCCCAAAACCAAAATATACCTAAACCCATTTTATCATTTTCGAGACATCAGGGGAAAATCGCGCGTCGGCCCCATCGATTCCAAAGTAAATCGCAATTTTTGAAACTCTTATCTCTTAGCCGACGTAAGATCAGTGGCGTGGCGTGAATTGCGATATATTGATTGTTATGCCACTTAAACCTATTGAATAGGATCGATAAACAGGGTGTTCGCAGCGAACACCTTTATAATCGATTCTTTCCCATAGGTTTAAATGGCATAACAATCGATCCATCGCAATGCACGCCACGCCACTGCGTAAGATACGACTACTTAATTTTCCACACATATGTTAATGGAGATTTCGAAACCCTGGTAAAAATTGGCAGTAGAATCTGTGTTCCAAAATACCAAAATACCTAAAGCCGGCTGTAAGATTTTCAATAGCTTCTATAGCCGGATGCACAATTTCTTATAGCCTTTTATAGCCGATGGCGACTAAGCAACAGCCAAGCGATAAAGTGTATGCTAAATGTTACTAATAACGGATGCTAGGACTTATTGAGTTTTTGGACTACCGCTCTATTTTTGGGCCGTAGTATCTTTATTTATTTTGCGCGGAAAGCTGCGCACTTTTGAAGGATGCCTGCCATTCCTAATATGTTGGAGCGCCTTCAATTTCGTATGATACTGTGCAATACCTCTGGTGGGAAATAGTTGCTTCAAGCGCCGTGGCACGCTGGGGCTGCGCGGCGGGCAGGTAGCCAGCGCGAAAAGCGCATTAGCGCCTACAAACCTAACAGGGATACTTCAAGCATTGCGCAATGCGTGAAGTATCCCTGTTAGGTTTGTAGGCGCTAGTGCGCGCTTAACTCTGGCAGCACGCCGCTCCGCTCTGTGTTAGGTTCCAATATATAATCTCGCGGAGTCAGCGTTTTTCAACCCATGATTTTAAAATGTTTGCACATCCTGTATGGATTATTCTCATTTTAATTGATTGAAAAAAAAAAAAAAACGTATAAAAGGAAAATATAATGTGTGTTTTGTAAATATTATGGTGGTTCCGTATCAAACTTAATGATTTCCAAAGCGCACAAATTTCTACACAATTTCTTATAGCCTTTTATAGCCGATGGCGATATATAAAGTGTAAAGCCCGACGATAGGAGCTATAGCCCGGCTATATACTTTTTTTATCGCTTCGTATAGCCCGGCTATATGATTTGCTCCGCTTTCTACAACCAGCTATACGATTTTCTGTTGCCTTCTTTAGCCGGCTATAAGAATTCTTATGGTATTTTGAAACGCAACTCTTATCGCCAATTTTTACCAGGGAAACGCCACCAACTCGCGATTTTTCTAAAAATGTGAGTTAAGTACATTTTGCCTCAGGGGTACTGATTCATACTCGAACAAAACAAATTAATAACACCTTAAAAAGAAGAGATTGATACAGAGAGGGGGGGGGACTCATATTGTTCAGCACAGCGTAAAAAACAGTTGTGGGTGAAAAATATCAGTTTCGAGTCCTCGATGAAGAGCACTTAGTATTTTCATCGAGAAGTTTTGGTCAAGGTTTCAGGTTCTGAGTTGCATTATTGATGATGTTATTCGCGTTTGAAATGAATCATCTCTCAGGGCTTATAATAGCGCCGTTAAACTTTAACAGTGGTTTTTTTTTTTTTAATTTTCTAGATGTCCTTTTACGCTAAACGTTGCAGAAAGAACCCGTTTAAGCCGTGATATAGCTTTGGCGTGTTTTTCTCCACCTTGAGGCACATTAATTGGACCACGTTAAACAGAAAGGAACCAAGCCACATCAGCTATTGCCAAATTTAATCGGGCAATTTAATTTTTTACATGAAAACGATTGTGCAGATTTTTGAGCAAATTTCTATGCATTTTCTCCATAATACAAAACAAATTCCTTAAAATTTTCAAAGGAATACGCACAAACTTTCTCTCGTAAAAAATCAAATTTCCCTGTTAAATTTGGCATTAGCTGATGTGGCTTGGTTCCTTTCTGTTTAACGCAATCCAATTGTCATGGGAAAATTAGCCTTAGGATGGAATACGAAATTGTGCAGTGAAATCGAGTTGGAGTTATTGGATGAATGGAGCTGGATTTTAATTTTTCCATGTTAAACACATTCTAATACTGTTAAGAATATTGCGTCATAATTTCAAGTCAAATGATTTGCATTTTTAATGATATTAGAAGCGTTTGAAGTCAATTTTCCCAAGACTGGCAATATCGCTGGCAAAAATACACAGTGGCTTTTGAATTTCCTGTTTTTCGATCTTTAGCTTTGAATTTCTGTCAAAGAGTAAATTTTTGTGCTTTTTTACGTGCTTGAGTAATAGTGTATCGACATGAGTTACCGATGCTACTTACTAACTATTAAGGCTGTTTTGATTATTTTCTAAAGGACGACCCTTCAACTCATGCTCGTTTTGGAGAGGTTAGTTTTTCAAACGAATACCAGTTCAGTGATAGGTAACAAAAATATACTTACAGCTGTTGCCACTTCACTGCATTCTGCAAAAACGCGGTCCTCGGTTAACAGCCCCATGTCAAAATTGTCCAGTAAAATGTCAATGATCACTTGCGATTTTTCTAAAAATTAAAGGGCGGGTAGTTAGGTACGTTAACAGAATGGATGCAGGTTAGTAACATGGTCATAAAAGCGTCAACACTCAAAAACCATGAAAGTTAAACAAAATTTGTACCCTAATTGGTGGCCATTACACGCTGATACATAGAAGGTTAAATGTGCTCCGACAAGAATGACTGCATTGAAACTTGTTACATATTCAGAAAGTGCATATTCAAGCAACGAGGTGCGCTATACTGCCTTCAGCAATGAACACAAATTCGAAAAAACTATAAATTACCCGTACATCAATTGAATTATTAAATCATCGTGTTGAATTTGTTTTCGGCATTCTCTTCAAACACGACACAATAAAAACGCAAATTTTCAACGTCATTACCTACCTGGATTCAAACCGGCAATTTCCATCTTTTTTCTGGCCTTCATTCGCAGCTGTATTATCTGGAATTAGTTCGGCAGTTTCATGAAGAGGTAGTACAGCTTACGGTGGTAAAAACAAATAAATAAAAAGAAACTGAAAATTGAAAAAAGATTACTATCCAGTTTTGAATTTTGCGAATTTTCTTAGCAACACTCTCTAGTAAGTAATACTCTCTCAGAATCAGTGTATTTTCCTTGTTTTGTTTCTGAACTAGTATAGGTAAAAATAAAAAAAAGTTCTTCGGTAAGGGCTAATAGAAAAAGTGTGGCCAATTTTCTTTTGGGTTCCTAAGAACAAATGCTTTCTGCATAACGGCCAGAATTTGGACCGATTCATAACTTTATAGATCTACTGAACACATATAAATTTTGTTAAAAATCGAGTGCATCCTAAAATGGAATGGGAAAAACTGATCATACCGCTTATCGCCGTAATTAAAAGTAAGAAGCTTAATTGAATCCACCAAGTATTTTAAAAAAGGCGCAAGTCCAATTTTTTTGAAGTCATTTTTATTGCATTTTTGGACCCTTTTCGTGTACCCACGCAAATCTATTGTGTGAAAATGGCGGAAGTCCAATGAATAGAACTGGAGAAAATAGTGGTGTGAAACTTGCGGGTAGACTTATAGAAAGGGCGGAAGTCCTGGACTTTTTTCCCTTTGTCTTGAAAAAGTCTGTGATTAGACTTCCGCCCTTTGAAAAATAGTGGATTCAATTGTTAGTCGTCGGGAGGAGATACTACAAAGGCTGTCCAAAAAGTACCAAGAATGGTTCCATAACTCAAAAACCAAGATAGCTAGAGGCTTGATCTTGGTCTTATTTGAAAGATCAACTCAATATCTATCGATTAAAATCAAAATCAAAACTTTTGATAAATATTTTAAAAGTTACAACACTGTTTGTAAAAAAAAAATATCTGGACCCCCACCGTTTTTTATGGCTATTTTCTCTTGCCGGGAACATTCTCTAAATTCATGATCAGTGCCCGGTTCTTTTGCAACTAATCATGGCAAAACCTAATTGATTTTGAAACACTGTCAAGTCGTCGTCGTCGTCCGACTACGGGTATAAGGGTTCAAAGTCCACGGGGAAAGAATGGACCGTCGGTCAGCCGGTAATGTAGCATCGCGTCCATGATATTGGACTCCATGCTCAGCTATATGATATTCGGTTGCTCATCACGTCCAAGATATTGGACTTCATATGCTCACTTTAATTAGGGATAATTTTTTCGAAAAATCGAAGTGAGCATAGCGTCCAAAATTGTGGGACGCAGGTATTCTCCGACAATATAGGAGCATGGGGTCCAAAAATTTATTAAGACAATTTTGGTGAAATAAAGACAAAAAAATGTGTTCTCGGTAAAAATTGTGCATTGCCTAGGTTGGGTTAGGTAAGGTTAGGTTAGGTTAGGTTAGGTTAGGTTAGTTTAGTTCAGGTTAGATTGGATAAGCGAAGTATACGATTTTCTATCATGATGAACTTTAAAACTAAGGGAGGTCTACTTGCTTTTGGACTCCATGCTCAAGCAAAGAAGTGAGACGTTTAGCGATGAGCATGGAGTCCAAGATCTTGGACGAGATGAGCAGGTAAGTATATCAAGGATGAGCATGGAGTCCAATATCTTGGACGCGATGCTACATAATCGGTCAGCCACCCCCAAAAAACCCGGGAAATTTTCGGCAGTTGTTGACAGTTCACAGTGCGTGCGTAATCTACGCTGCAGATAGTCAGTGATTTTGTTTCTGTGTTCGAAATTTTTGATACCACTGCTTTATCTCTTTCCACGATGTTTTCCTTGGGTTTCATTCTTCTCCTTGGATTTTTTCTCGCGGTAATAACGTCATCTGTATCTAAGGAATCTCAACGAAGGAGCCATGCCGTTACTAGTTCAGTTTGATCTGTAGTAACTAGTTTGATTCCCTAGAGATAAAATTGCAAACGAGACAAAATGAAGGACATTGATACATGCGCACCATAAACTTAGAAATCCTAATAAGGACGTTCATGCTCCAGGACAAATCAGTTTCAGAGATTAGAGCTCGTGCATTTTCAAGCCAAGGAAAAAAAATTATGTGTAACATTACCAAACCTCACCATACGCACAAATAGTAATCCTTCAGAATAATACTTTTCGAACAGTCTCTGCTTTCCACTAATCTTGTACAAGAAATCCGGCCACAATAACGGTGAAAACATCCTCTCAAAAATCATCTCCGCCGTTCTGAAATATGAAAAAGCGTAGATTATTGCGTGAAAGCGTAGGTAGAGAGTGTTTGTTACTATATGTAAGATTGTCTATCACAGAGCCAGTTTCCAAACTGGCTAAATTTATTTAAATCATATATTGTTGCCATTAATAAAGTAATATCTCCGATTCGGTTTATTATTAGGGTGTATATCCTTCTTATTATTGATTTTTTTTAAGCTTACGTTTTGCGTGTTGATGGAATGTCATGATGACGGAAGAGAGCCGCTAAAAAAGTTTGTAAACGGGGTTCAATCTGAGGTGAAATGAGGAGATGCGAGACATAGATTTATGGAGTGGAAGATAGATACTAATGGGAAAAGGGGGTTTATATGATGATGAGAGGGGGACAGTAAATCAGGCTAAAATTTCCATCAGCAATTCAGTATATGCCCAAAGTTTATCATGGCAATATGCGTCCTGCAAAGTATGCAAATATTTTTTTTTTTTTTTTTTGGATAAGCTGAGAAATGTTTTGACAGCGCTGTGATATTAATTATATTCCTGGTTATTTTTAATGATTTTGTTCTCTTACTTCCATTGTAGTATGTATGGATTTTTATATAAACTATAAGAGAATAAATGTTGAATAGTAGTAATATGTACGATTCATCAGGCTCCGAAGCATCCAATTGCTATGAGGCACTTGAAGTGACCAATAAATGCGCTTCCCAAATATCTTGAAGTAAGTTGGATAAATAGTTAAGCTAGAGATCCGAACTTATTTAGCTACAGAAAAAAGTATCCATCAGGAAAATGAGATATATTTTTATGTTCTTGCCTCATTTACTGCAGCATACTTACTTTGTCATTGAGTGCGAAACCAAGTAAAAATTATGTTTTTGGAAATCCACGTGAGTTTGTGACATGTTCGCTGAAACGAGAGTCACAAGAAATTGTTTAGTCGGTCAATGAGGCAGATTTTCAAACCTGTATTAGTTTGATAAATCTAAATTATAAGCTAAATAGATGTGTATGTAACTAGCAAATCATAGTGCTGGATTGATGAAACTCGCTCTTATTAAAAATTGTATGAAAGGAAACCAACGGATGATTCGATGTATAATGCATCCTGCTTTGACAATTTGGTGGGGCAAGAAAAATAAGATAACCAAAAAAATTGGCTAGATGACAGCAAAAGCGCAAATACCTAAGCAAAGGAAAGCTGAATAGGAAACGGATAAATTTTTTTTGTCGACACCTTATTCAGGATTGTATGCAAGGAACTTCACGCAGGATTACCCTCACCTTGTCATTAATTCATTTTTCATGCGCCCGGTCTACTTATGCTTTGATTCGATTATTCTGAAGCAATCAGTATAAAATTGTTTCTACAAAGACTCTACGCTAAGTGCAACTATTCGTACGTAAGAAATTTATTTTTAGTATAAACGAAGAATCAAAAGTACTTTATTATTCTGTGGCGTGGCGTGCTTTGCGATCTATCGATATTTCTCCATTTAAAGCTGTGATAAATGATCGATTATTAAGGTGTTTGCTGCAAACACCCTGTTTATCGATACTTTTCCATAGGTTCAAATCGTCGATCAATCGATACATCGCAAAGCACGCCAAGCCTCTGCTATTATTTTTGATCTTCACTGTATTTACAGTCCGCCGCTGCGCCGCGGGTGCAGCGGCAAGAATCAGGAGTGTCAAAACGCCTTTACTTTTGTGCGTATGCAACACGGACAGTCGTGACGCTCGAATAGTTGCATCCAGGCGTTATAACCGTTTAATATGTGTCACATCCGATACAACTTGCGGGTATTTTGCTTCCACCTTCTACTCCTTATCTCAATTCCAGCTTTATCTTTAGCGTTTAAAAGTAAAATTTTATTGATTTTCATCGCAAAATTGCCAATTTTCCGAAAAGTACTATTACTGTTTAAAAGTGCTCAACAGGCCAGTTAAAAATGCATTACGCTGCAGGACTTACCACAAATGAAATCAATAAAGCATAGATGTACGAGAGGGAAAATATCGCACAAGTCTCCATTGGCGTGTTCCTTTAGCCGGTCTATAAATATTTTACCATAATGAACAAAATTGTCATCAAATGATTTCACAACAGATGATCGGTAAGCCGGATTTACTAATTTCCGTGTCTTGTGCCATTGATCGCCTGTACAAACCAATAATCTTTCAAATAGCAAGTCGAATAATCAACCAATCATCCATGCAGTCATAAAATCAAACATAATATATGTACTTGTAAACTTCGTCGAATATTCACATACGACAGTACAAGTAAATCACCCTGTGATACCCATCACCCAGACTCAGAGATTTCGTATTAACTTTTTTATGTATGCATGGATAAGGGGGTAAAAAAAAAACTCCAATATTGGTTTCATACCCCCCTTATCCTTGCTGACGTTCACAAAAAAAGTGAATGAGATAATCTGAGAAATATTCTAAGATTGTGTGTTCTCCTTCAAAAATTGGATATTTTTTAAAGCACTGTAACTAGGTATATAAAGTAACAGGAGTGCCGGGTGCATACAGGTGTGTTGGGGAACACAAAACCGGGAAAAATTAAAATTAGAATTAGAAATTCAATAAAGAAACCTGATACGTTTTAGTGAAAGAGAGTGTGGAAGGATGGCGTTCAGCTAAGGCAGATGTATTGAAAATTTATTTCTGGGGGTTTCACACACCGGCATGCGGCATCGGTTTTGCTCTTATTAAATTACATCAGCCCGGAAAAGAAAAGCAGAACCCAACTTAAATTTTTGTGCACCTCGAAAGGCTTTGAAAAAACTCTATTTATCAAGACTTTAACTGCCACGTTAAAGTTTGTCTACCCCTATGTACAGTCTGTGAATGCACCTTTTTATTTGATCTTACTAAATTGTTACTTTGTTAAGTAAACCGAAATGATGCGCCCTCTTCTGAATTATTTTAATCATTTCCTAGTTCGCGAGTGGAGCTCCTAAATTGAACGTGTTTTTGGCATCTCAAAGTTCATCGCTTGAACTTTGAGATGAACTTTGAACTTTGAAGCATGGATCACACTTTAAGATATGACGTCCTTTCCAAGTATTGATTATTGGAGGGTAAACGAGAATTACAATTGTGGAGGTATACACACCGTATAGTTAGGGAGGAAAGTTTATCGCTGGCCGTCGATTGCATGAAACCCAGTTTTTTACGAGGTCTTTTGGTTTTCCTTTTGATTTTTTCGCTAACACTAAAAAATTTGTGGAAAACATTTTAAAAAAATGGTTATAACTTGTAAACAAATTGAGTAGGTGTGTGACTTACCTGAGGATGAGACGATACTCGGAATTATCTTCTTTAGGATGTCATAACTTTGGATTTTGTCAATATTTACTGAGCTCGCTAAAACCGCCTGTAATCAAAGTCGACAAAAACTTGACGAAATTATTTTCCCTCTAAAACCAAACGGTTTAAGGATCAAATTCCTCATTACATCCCTAAAAACTGGCCCTAATGGCCTCAATTTTTCATTCATATTTTTTAGGAAAAGTTTCAGGTGGTAACAAGTTAGTCTCGTAATTTTTCCTAAGCGTGATGTGCTCTTTAATGTTGGGCTTAAAATGTTGTGTTTCGAAAATTTTTATTTTTAGCATTTTCTAATCCATAGCATTGGGTTATATATCAACGATTCTGCGACAAGTGCATCTAGCCTATTTCTTAAATCCGATGGTATTATGTGAGTAATAGGTGCGTCATTTCTCTGAAAGTTTTTATTTTCACTCACACCATAAAATGTCATCATCAATTCATTTCAAACTGACGGTCTCGGGTATTCTGCTTTTCAGGAAATCGATCCCGTGACTGATGTATTTCCCGCAACTAATTGGACGTATTTCTGTCAAACAGAACTATGTGCATTATGGCGTGAGCCCTGTTATGAATGTATTCATATGGGTGTCTGGGCTCATGTCTTAATGCACATAGTTCCGTTTGATAGGAATACGTCCAACTGGACTTCTTTGAGAAGATGTGCGGGTCTCAGAAAAATTTAGTGGTGAAGGGGCTATAGAGGAACTCAAAAGAGACGCATTTTTTATCTCTCTCTAATTTATTTACCTTACTATTTTCTGCTCTCTTTCGTTCTCTGTTGGGAAAGTTGCCGCCGAAAGAGTAAGTTCCAACTGATAACAAAAATAAAAGAAAGATGGAGAAAGAAACGTATAACAGATAGTTAGCTACTTGCATTGAAGACCTCCAATTCGCCAGTAACGATCACAGGATTTTCAGTATCCCAATAAGCAAAAGTTTTCGGAAAGTTATTCATGGCTGCTTTCAGTCTGCTACACACGTCTGAAATTCAAAACATTAACGCCACTTTAGTTCGTCTCCAATGTCAGTGTAGACAAGACGAGCTCCCACGTGGTCGAATAGATCGTGAAATGGTACGCCTACTCAGGAGTCAGGACATACATTAATGAGAATTTGTTGTCGAACGAGAGGAGTCTCTTCAATGCCATATCAATTCGCCTTCAATATTTAGTGTAGGCAGCACGAGCTCTCACGTGGTCGAATAGTGGTATCATTGCCCCTAAGATAGACGGACTGATTCCATCAAAGGCGAATTAGTTGTAAAAACGATAGAACTTTCGTTGGAATCGGGTAAAATTACTCAAATTTTTTGATAGCATGCTTTTTCGTCGTATGATGGTTGAGTTCGAATTTGGTTTCAAGCATATTTACTAATAAGCGGTCATTAATGTGAGTGCCTATACCTTTCGTTGTTATCCAATTATAGTATGGAGATTTTCAACGAATTCGTCGATTTTAAGCATGCGTTTATGTGATTGGGGAAACTCAATTCGGTTCAAATCAGACTTTGATGCTACGGATAGCCGATGATTTTCGATCCTTAAACTGGCCACATAATTGAGATACTGTGGTTACCGATTGGACAAGGGCGAGTCTATCGTTTCCAGCTGGAAACGATTTTTCTCCAAAAAAGGATTGACATCGTTATCATTAGTATTGACCACACAAATCAAAGAAGGAGATTGAGAGGTGTGTGCGGTTTGTTACTTTGGAGACTTTTCCCCCAAAACATAAGAATAGAACTGGCGTTGAATCGTATGAGTCAAAGAGAGATGTTTGTGTGGTTAGTATAATCAGAGACTTGAACGAGTGGGCAGTAAAAAAAACACACACATTAAAGTTAGTTAGAATATCACTACCGAGACTTAAATCAAGACCTAGTTTTTAACTGGACCACAAACAGAGATTCGCAAAGTATATCCTTTGCACCACTGAGTGGACTTGGGGGAGGTGGGAAAATGATCCTGATGATTGATCCTGAATTTGACGCGCGGTAATGTTTGTGAGCAAACCCACATTGAGTGCTTCAAGTAATTATTGTTAGGGTGAATCCTTAGCAGTAGTGAACAAGCATTATAATATCAGGCAAATTTTACCAATCGTTTTCAAAGTGTGATTTCATCGAAGAATGAAAAATTATAATGGCTGTTATAAAGTTTCTTATCAGTGGCGTAGCTAGGAATTCTTTTAGGGGAAGGATGTGTCCATTTACATTATTTTGTGTATGTCCCTGATAATATTTTATGTCTGCCCCCCAAATTTCAAAAAAGGTACAATCAACGAGGCTAAGGAGGGGGAGTTGAGACACCCTGGACCCCCTTTCGCATCTACGCCACGGTTTCATATCCTCTCTTAAGGTCCATAATTCGTTGGTTTTAAGTTTTATGTTTTGAGCGTGATTTTTATCGCTGAAAATCCGGATATTTATTCCTAGTCGCTGCTAAAGTTGAAAAATGTATACCACCGATTGTCACGACGCAAATCTCCGCCTATTTATTTACAATTTTCTATTTGTTTATTTATTTATATCTTTCAAAAAGAAAAGTAATTAATTGATATTTTTAACTTTTCTGCAAATTCATTCATTCAAAAATATTCATAGAAAATTTATAATAGATATTAAAGGATATTTTAATCAGATTTCAATTCAGAAACTGAAGCAAAATTGAAGATATTGAAACGTCGGAATGGTGATACACCTATTTTCACTTTTGCCATCGATCTATGCTTCATTTGCACGAATATTACTAAATATGTCTAAAGTACCAAACTAAATGTAGTCGCAGTTTATCGCAATTTTACAAAATTTCGGATTTTTTTTCCTCTCCTTAATTATTATTATTTTTTTCTTGTATAATATCAGTGGCACAGTCATCAATAATCAGAGGCATGCAGTATGTTTCACAATTTCCAACAATCATTCGTTTCAAATTTTTAGTTTTTCGATAAGTAGATCAACCTAATGAAGTGCAAAATGAACACTTACTTCTTGTGTTAACTCCGAGTAACAGGTAAACGGAGCCGACGAAAGGGAATGCCAACGGCCCGGGGACTGAAGCCATGAATGAATATATCCTCCGATACTTCCATCGACGCACTAGTGTCCTGATCACAATTATTGCGAATAAGCACATCCATAACACATGTGATAATTTTAGCTGCATCGCTGGCAGCTTTAACAGGAATCTGCAGAAACAGTACCGAAGATTCTGTGCGTTACAACATTTTCCTGACATGTATATCAAAGACGTTTCCATTCCACTATGACAATTTTGTATTTTATCGAAATGTTCAGACTCTACACAAAATTGCTTACTCACTAAATTTAGTTATGTGCTCCTTGTCGCTTGTAATTTAGTATCTCATTTTTTCTTTATACGGGCATCTGAATACGCAATGTAGTTACTGACAGAACATTAATTTCCGTTTCGACAGATTTACTGTGCAAGATTATGCCCCGATAATCTATTATAGAAATTAATATAAAGAGGCTTACAGATTTTTATTATTTTTTTAAACTACGTTAATTAGTTTATTTCTATAAAAAAAAATTAGTCTAAATCTTTCAAATATCGTGTTTATTCGGATCGAATATTTTCCAATTTAATTTTCTTTCAACAAATACGATTATGAAGGTAAGATGTGAATTGTGAGGGTGTGACGAATATTATTTGTAAAATATTCATTGGTTAGAGAAATAGCGTCCTTTTTTGTTTTTCCTCCCCTTTCTTTTTTGAAGGAAAAGCAGGATGTTACTTCAGGAGAAATTCTTAAGAGAGAAATATGCTCAAAAATTTTGGAGAAAGAGAGTTTGTTCAACTCACCACTTTTAAAAATGAAGTATTTCCGTCTCAATTGAATAAGTTTGGCAATGTTTTCCTTTGTCCAGAGAGTAGGTACACAAGCACGTCAAACGAGATCGACGTATTCGACTGTGACTGAATTCGATTCTCCTAGAGTAGAGTTCATTTCTGCATTCGTTTCGGCAATTTATCCTCATTTCGCGAATATTTTTTACAAGATTAACCTCATTTCTCAACTTTATTCTGTTGGTGATCTTAAATTGTTGATTCATATTCAATTATGTAACACAATATGTTAGCACTTCTATGTTTTTTGTCTATGGAAGAATCAGTCGAGTTATAACAAGTTTTACCTTAAATTATATATGAGAGGCTTCGAGGAAAATGCGCATAAGTGCAGTTTTTGCTACGTCGAGAAATACGTGTTTGAAGTTTCGAAATTAAATAGATCCTTATGGCGTAGAGAAAGTTCGAACCGACTTTTGGATGCTTAAAAATTGAAATTTGGGAGCGAATTTTCCACAGAATATGCATCATCATTAGTCTTACTTGAAATCATTAAAATCTCAATTTTTTCAAAAACTGCAGTTATGCGCCGTGTCCTCCAAGCCTCTCACATATACATGTATTTTTTGTTCGTCTGAACTTTCGACCGTGGTGAAAATGCATATGCGTACACACACTCGATATGTCTCGCAGTGCAACCATGACGTTAACGTAGTGGCCAATGCTAACTAATGAAACCGTCTGTGGAAAAAGAAATCTAAAAGACCTGAAAGAGAAATAATTTTTTTTTTTTTTAAACCCTTTAAGCCTTTCTTTTCACATGCTATTTACATGCTTTTACATGCTTTTTACATGCTATTTATGATTAGAATACTTTCAAAAAACATACCAGGAGGAAGTAATATCCAAAGGTTTCAAAGCTGCTCATTAGAAAATCTCCAGTCAACCTATCAATGCTGAGAATTGAGAAACTTTTACTTAGATTGCTGAAATTCAGGATTTATATTCTTGATTATTTTACTTTTATTACTGTTGAAGAAAACTTAGCCAGATATATTTTTATTGGCTGAAGAAAATTCAGTTAATCAGTCATGAAAGAAGGAAATACTGTTGGAAATCTGAAACTTCGTAATTATAAATGTGTATTCGTAGCTTTCTAATATTTGCCCCTCGATATTAGGAGGAACATCCGTTAGGTTGAAATCCGTTGAATGTGACATCACAGCTGCTAAAAATTCAGAGCGCCTTCAATTTCTTCCGTATGCAATACTCACATCCATGAAGCCAGGAATAGTAGGTACTCTCGCAACCAGGCGTTACCATCATTCTGTAGTAGAGCGCCGCGCCGCGCCGTATGAGCCTTCGGACTTTACTATACATTTATTTTTAAAAATATTTCTTTTTGGGAACGGGTGTGGATATTTTTCTTTGAAATTTGCAAACAACATGGATTAAATTGTAAAATAAATTCTGCGTGAAAAATTTAAGAAAAATATTCTTGAATCATCAACATTATTCTGTTTTAGCAACAGTCATTTTGCAACTTCTAAAGAATTCACGTGGGCGTTTAACGCTAGCGTGGCAATATTGGTGTCCGTCACGTCACCTTTCGCAATAAATGAGAAACTAGTGGAAAGAAAGATGAAATAATTACGTGGCAAGTTTGAAGAGAGTAAGAATGAGGTATTAGTGATCTCTGTAGCAAAAGTCTTAAAATGTGATGCAAGTGCAATGTAGTACGTCATCTTAAAGCTGAAGACGTTACGCGACAAGAGCGACACTTCCTCTCGTTTAAATCAAATTTTAGGTGGAAATAATGGAAATAAAATGAGTTGACAAATGATTTTCAAAATTAGGACTTATTTATTATTTTACACATATATTAATGGAAGAGTAACAAAAAGAAAAGGAAAAAATTGTACTAAAATTAAATTAAATTTAACGCTACACAGCCTGGTTCCTCTCATTCTTCTTGAGAGTGGACGAAGTAGTATCACAATGAAAATGGTTTTAAATGAAGTTTTGAAAAAGCATCATTATATTTTTTGTATGAAGTGAGACAAAAACGAAAGTTATTTCCTGTAATCATGGATTGGAGGAATGTAATCTAAAAAAACTGAGGATTTTTATTTTCATCTAATAGTATCGAATGATTTTGAAAAAAAATTGTGGCTCGAACAATAAGCCCGGTAAGAAACATGAATATCAAAAGCACTAGTTGGCTCTAATATATTAAACGTCCAAGCACTTTCATCGTTCTCAAAATGTCTCCGGATTTTGTTCAAATGTTTTTAATTAGTTCATATGCAAGCTAACGAAGCAACAAAGCCAAATACTTTTTCGACGTTGAAACTCTCAAACCACGTATATGATTTTCGATGTTTTGAAATTTCCGCTCCCATTTTTTTTTTTTTTTTTTTTTTTTTTTTTTTTTTTTTTTTTTTTTTTTTTTTTTCTTCTTAAAAGGGGAACAGTTTAACATCACTCCTTGAAGTTTCCACAGAATTCCCCAGCACAGAGAAGAAAAATCGGAAGTTTTTAAGCTCGGAAGTTGCGTCTATTTAACAGTGGCGTGGCGTGAATTGCGATATATCGATTGTTATGCCATTTAAACCTATAGAAAAACAATCGATAAACAGGGTGTTCGCAGCGAACACCTTAATTATCGATTCTTTACCATAGGTTTAAATGGCGTAACAATCTATAAATCGCAATTCACGTCACGCCACTGCTATTTAATAAACCAGCATGACATGAAGACTTCCGCAAACAAAGATACTTGGTTTGGAAGTTTCACCGTCGATTCAGAAGGGTACAGATAACTATGAATAAAAATAAGAATAATTGTACCAATGTATAAACATATATATATACTTCGACCAGTGGCGTGGCGTGAATTGCGATTTATCGATTGTTATGCCCTTTAAACCTATGGTGAAGAATCGATTATCAAGGTGTTCGCTGCGAACACCCTGTTTATCGATCCTTTTCCATAGGTTTAAATGACCTAACAATCGATATATCGCAATTCACGCCACGCCACTGACTTCGACAGCGCCGATGAAAAGGAAATCAAGTTGCTCGCGTGAAAATTAAGGGTTCGACTGCTGGTTAGCTATGTGTGTGATGTTAATTGACTCGGTTTCTGTTAGACGGGCGCAAGTCGAATACATCATGAGCCCTGGCTTTCTTTTATCCTGCAGGGCGCTGGGGCTCATGAGTTTTAACGTCCGTCTAACAGAAACCGATTCAATTATGGAGAATTTTTAAAACCACCAACGATCAAACCCTCTCTCACCAAAAAATAGGCACTTCCCTCCCACGATACACAATCCACAAATGGTAAAGCCACAAATTTTGCTGACAAAATGTCAGGTTTGGCACATCATGAGCATGAAAGACAACTGAAAGAGTCTTTTACTCATCAGTTCCTCTCTGCTTGAAGAGAGGTATCCACCGCCCAGGCAAAGCACCGCAACCTCCAATGGGTTGCTGATTTTGGCAGTATCGTTCGGAGGCGTGGCGTGAATGATCGACTTTTGATATTACCCCATTTGAAGCTATGATAAAGAATCGATTATTGAGGCGTTCGTTGCGAATACCCTGTTTATCGATCCTTTTCCATGGGTTTAAATGACAGATCAATCGATACATCGCAAAGCACGGCACACTTCTAGTGTCGCTCATGAATAGCGAGGCAGAGCCTCCGAGAAATGGACTACATTTTGCAATTTGGGCCTATAAATTCTGGCTCATCTGAAAAAACACTTATGTGCATAGGGAAACTAATGGCACATACGTTGTTTTTAAACCGGGCCGGAATTTATAGGTCCAAATTGCAAAATGCAGTCCAAATATTTTATCTCGGATTTTAATAAAACCAGTGTGTCTCGCAAGAAACTTTTCGCCGTATATCCTACGAAAGCTTTGCTTGAAACAGGACGTTGAAACCTGCAGATCTGAAATTTTCACCAAATCCTTCACTTGATCTCCAACGATTCTACCAACGCAGAACTGATTGGATAATTTATCTTCTTGTCTGGTGCTGCACAAGGTTCTCATATTTGTCTATAGAGCAGATGATCGGTAGATAGAACTGTCTTCTGCTGTCTCGTGAAACGCCCTGAGGACGCCTTACTTTTGAGTATTTTTAGTATACAATGCTTTAGATCCTCGTTCAGAGTCTAATAAGAACTTGGCGGAGGAACCCATCCACCGAACGCAGCCTCCAGCTCCTCTGCCACTTGGAAACACAGTTTGTCTTGGCCTGGACCTGCCACAACCTGCGAATCAAAATTTAAAATCTTTTTAGCGAAAATATCAGATTCAGTGCAGAGTTTTTCTGCATTCAAAAAACAAGTATGGGAATAAGAGTGACTTACCGGCCGAGTTATGGATCATGGAGCCATGAAATATAGGTCGTGGATCCATGCTTATAGGTTCACAACCAATAAGGTATGGCTCAGAAAGCCATACTGTAGACGGTAAGTCACTTTGGTTAAAAATTATGAATCTCCGAGCCATTTTTTATGGGTCTCAGAGTCATACCTTTTATTGAGTGTGGTTTCAGGAAAATCAGGAAGGAGTCATTACGAAAGGAATTTATCGCCAACCATCATCAAATAATTTATCAAACTTGCGTCTTGCACCTATATTTCTGGTTTTTCTTTCACTAATACATATAATGATGATAGCTTTTCCTCGTGACATTAACATCAGGCTAAAACATTGTACTGACGCAAATCTAGGTACAAGGTTTTTTCATTTTTAAAGTAATTGATACGAACTTAAGAGCTTTATACCAAAACTAGGATATGGTGAACAGTCAACGATGTACAGCTGTCTCCATCATTTACAATGATTTTTATATTTGTATAAAAATATCTCAAGAGATGGGTTAATCAGTTAGCTAAATTTTAATTTTGATTTGCTCGGTATATTTGGATTTCTAGGCTGAAGGGGCGAATACTTGTCAATTAAAGCTTCACAAACTTTGATTCTTTTCAACATTATATTTTAAGCCACTCAATAGACGGGAACACAATTCAAATTTGACACGATGCTGCGGTTATTTTAGTGGGCCATTAGGATAAGCCTTAAGCACATAAAACATGGCTCCTTTCTGGTACCTTAAAAAATCGAAAATATGGGCAAGTACCTGGAGACCGATTGGAAGACCCTGCGAGTTAAGTCCTAAAGGCACGTTGGTCGCTGGTAAATGAAGAATATTGAAAAGGAAGGCTTGACACGTGAGTGTTTGCTTCAGTGGGAAAAGTCCATGGTAAAATGCTGGTTGAGCACTGGTTGGGCACAGGAGGACACCATTGTCTTTCAATAGATTCTGAAATAAAAACGAAAGTTTTTTGAGCAAATTGCGCCAGAATTAGTTTCAATAGCTCAATATTGAGCTAAAGTTTGGCTAAAATTAGTTCAGCTAATAGTTAGTCGAGAAAGCAGCTACTTGGAAGGAGCTTGCCATGACCCCGTAGAAAATGAATATTTTTAAGAATATATTATACTTTTAACCAAATTATAATTAGAGCGAAAAATATGTAGGTTTACCTCACGTTACAGTTTAATGTATTATTTCAGATGTAGGTCTATGCTTGTAGTTTTTTTTTTTTTTTTTTTTTTTTTTTTTTTTTTTTTTTTTTTTTTTTTTTTTTTTTTTTTTTTTTTTTTTTTAAGGAAAACTAACCAAAAGTTTCCATTGAATTTTCTGAGAATTTTTCTCCATCACTCTAAAGTAATAACACAGATTCACAAGGAAAGATATAAATTAGTTTTCCTTAAATTAAAGAAAATGAAACAATCGGAGATTTTTGAACGATGCAATTAAAATGAGGGATTTATTCACATTGACCGATCGATATTCAAAAGTAGAAACATCCACTATTGCAGTAACAATTCTCGTCCTCATTTGAGTTATCGTCGACCGTGAAAAACGGTTCCCTTCAAATAAGTCTCATCTCTATAATAATCAAAGTCTAATTTAAAACGTGATAAAATTGTGAGCTGTAGGATAGGATCACTTACGGTGAGTTTTTTCTTGAGTGTTTCAGCCTCTGCAACGTACATTTCCCTCCGTTTCTTGGGTATGAAGGCTTTGAATGTGAGAAGCGCCGTGAAATGGATCGTCGCGAGCGTGAACGTTGGTGCTCCGAGGATGAATTTAACGGCTTCGTGAGGCAAGGAAAACTGAAAATCGAGAAATGACAACACGGTCAATTGGCGCTTAAAATAAGTTTGGTTGCCTCATACATATGTATAAAGCAGTCCCATGTCCAAAACACACTTATTCGTGAGCCCGCGAAGATTGATCCGGGGGGCCATGGATACATTCACTTTCAACATTTTGAAGAGAAACGCCGAAGTTGACAGCCTCGATAGATCCTTTACTTTTATTAAAGTAGAGGTATCGCATTGGCTGCTGAGGAAGGATAAAGCTAAAAGCCTGAAAAGCCCCTTCCCGGGATCCCGAGATTTTTTCAATATTTTGTAGTTGATGACGTTTAATTTACGGAAAAGTTTGTTTTTTGGCGAACGGCGATACTCGCGCCTTAGAGCTTCAAAATGGAGGCGTAAACTTGGACCCGAGGACGAAATTCCAAGAAAATCCTCGTTTTTTCAGTGTTTTATATCGATGGTGTAAGTTCGTAACCGCGTATATCATTTGCGGTGATAATCCCCACTCCTATTTTATTTATCTAAGGAGAACAATTTGACATCATTCCTTGAGGTTTTCACAGAATTTTCTTCGCAAAGAGGGGAAAAATCACGGCAATTTTCAAGTAGTAGTTTCGAGTAGTTTTCCATTTAAAAAGTAAAATTCGGCAGGAAGTCTGCAACGTCGCAAACGCAGATACGTCGCTTGGGGGATCTACCGTCGATATTTTCTACAAGCTTTGGTTCCTGAAGTAGTGCTATCAAATTAACTGCAAAACACATTATCTCACCTTTATTGACATGTTGTTGAGAGTTTTATTGACGGATTTCAGTATCGACCCAAAGAAACTAGCCAAACTGATTTCGGTCGAATCGTCCCACTCTGGAAGATCTGCCTGTAGATTGAAAAAAAAAAAAAAAATAAATAAGGCACATTGTTAATTGAAAAAAAAAACCAATGCGAGACTATTAAAGTCCTCTGAAACTTCGATTTGACGAAGAATTTTTATAAACCTGTATACCTATGTCAAAAGTTTATTATTCCTTTTAAATGACCAGAGAATGGACCATGGGACGTAGGATAAAATATTTAAGTATAGATCTCTAGAAGATATGTTTCCTATAGGTTCATCAGAAGTTGACGGAAAACACGTTCAACTTTTCGAATACTGCCGAAATTACTCGTAATTGATTGGTATGAGAAAGTATACCGTTTTGAATTACATCATAAACAGAAAACTCAAACTTCCCACCTGAAAAAAATCCACGATGAACGTAAAAAAAATTAACCGTTAAAAGCAACTTATACATTAGATGAGTACTTAACTGAATCTTAAGTTCACACACATTTCGCCCTCTGATACAAGGTACCTTAAATATACCGTCGATATGCCGGCTTATACGCGCAACATCAAACAATCAGTCTATTATAACGTCAAAACATCGCCCGTTGATAAATTATTGATCTACCTATTAAAAATTATTATTTCCATATATTTCTATGCCACTCACGTTGTTGTTCCTCTTCTGCCGTTTTACCAATTTTTTTGGTGGCAAATTCTGTATTTAAATTGCAGAGGTGTGAATCGCCGAAGTTGGTAAGGTACCTCCATAAAATAAATATACTTCTACTACTAATATACCATTATCATCCCTCTCCGATGGTAAATCTGAGTTGAATCACGCTGATCTGATCTGCTGATCTGTCACGTCGGATTGAAATATTTGAAGCCATAAAACATAAATATTCTAATTTAGGATGACATTCTGTCAATAAATTATTAGTCTTACCTTTTCGCATTTACAGCTTTTACTTTTAAAGTGGTTCACTGCTTGATGAATTTTCTTCTTAATTTCTCGTGTCGGTTGGTTATTCCCGAGTGGGTATCCACAATTATCTAAGTAGAACACATTTAAATTGTTAACTGGAACCTGTTATGCAAATGAAAAAGAAATAACTTAATTAAGCGATCAAGGAGAGTAAATTACCGAAAAAGATCTAGTGAGTAATTAGCCAAGTCTAAGGATTGTAAAATTAGCTGCGATCAAATGAGTATCGCATATAAATGGAGGAGAGAGTGAAAAGTAGCGAGAATAAGTGCTACACCGAAGAGGCTGGCTAAAAAAATGTGGAACACTTCGGCGTGTGGTTCACAAAAGTCTTAATATAACGTCAACGAGAATAATTACAGTTAACTTATAATAAATTGAATACCTGGAATTCTAGTATCAGGATAAAAATTAGTATCGAGTTAAATTTACAAATGGAACACTCCATTTTCATTCATAAAATTCCGTCTATCATAGTTCGGCGGTTGGACCTAACGCTACTAACGCAGCGCGCGCGACATAAATGACAACGCAGCCGGTGCTGTGAAGCAACTATACGTGCTCGAGGGATGTCCGCGTTGCGTATCTGAAAATTGAAGGCGTTTTGGTTTTCGCCCGCGTAGTAGTGCGACAACAGCACGAAGCCAGCGGTGGCGCCGTGTGCGGCGCAGGAATAACTTGCATTATGTTGCTCCTTGTTAGAAGGTTGCCCTCAGTATCCCTCTCGTCCCTTCGGTTCCGTTCAGCCGCCTCACTATGCTCTAAAGTTTTCGATGTTGAATAGAATTCTTCTAAGCCGCATGATTTCCAATGACTAGGGAGCGCGTGACTGAACAAAATGAGAGCTAATAGTTTACTTTGTAAGTTTTTTTCGGCAGAGGGAGAGGGACATAAACTCCCCCGTGAATTTAAAGCCAAAAATATTGAATAATCTTTTGAGGAGACAAGATTTTTGGGATATCTTTCATCCAAATTAAGGATAGGAAGGGTGCAGATTGTAAAATAGAGAACTCAAAGTATATCATGATATAAAATTACTCTTAAAAACCAGGTGCAGGGTCCTAAGACTCCTAAAAATAATGAATTTCTAACTAAATCCTTTTATAAAATACGTGGTTATTTTTAGGAATCCGGAAATCGGAGTCAAACATTTTTCGTGTGGGACCGAAACACTTACCATAATGAAGGGTGAAGGATGGAAAAAAGGAAAAATCTGTTTTTTCCATTTTTTTTTGGAGCGATGAAAGACATTTTTTTAAAGTTTACCTACCTTGTGATCGAGGTTTAACGACGACGCTTTATCACCGGCTAATATTTTGAACATTGGTGTTAGATCTTCGGCGTATCGCGTCATCGGACCAATACATAAAACTTTTTGGAAATCCGGGCTTGGGTCGAGAGGGAAATGGCCAGTCAAGTCAATAATGCCTGCGAAATAAAGGCTCAGTTATTGAAAAAGAATAAAACAATTACTCTAAAATAAAATAAAAAATCTATTCGTTGATGAAAAGAAAACTCATGGGTACCTTATAATGTGGAAACTTGAGTTTTAACGTTCATGTTTACTGAATTTTTGATATAAAAACATAAGTGTTTTTATATTCCATATCTAGACATATAATTAGTGTATATCGACGGTGTAGGTCGGCAATCACTTAACTCGTTTGTGGTGTCCAGAAAACCCCTTTTATTGGTCATTCAGCGGCGCGGCGGGTAACTAGTGTGACACGTTCGCTAGCGCCTACAAACCTAACAGGGATACTTCAAGCATTGCGCAATGCATGAAGTATCCCTGTTAGGTTTGTAGGCGCTAGCGCGCGCGCATGTCACGCTAGTTACCTGTTACCCGCCGCGCCGCGTCGCGCCGCTTCAAGCAACTATTTCGCGACAAAGGTTTTACACAGTATCATCCAAAATTGAAGGCGTATCAAGAATGCGAAATTTTTTTTTTGGCGAATTTTTTTTAAAGGAGAACATACTGACATCATTCCTTGGAGTTTATGCAGAATTTTCTTCACACAGAGAAGAAAAATCACGGCAGTAAAGAATTGCCGTTAAGTAGTTTTCCGTTTAAAAACTAAAGTGTGACAGGAATTCTGCGACGTCGCAAACCGAGTTATGTGATTGCCCACTTACACCGTCGATATGTAGTTCTTGATATAAGCCACTTATTTTAATGTTGTTTTTTTACTTACTTTTAATGTTGTTTTACTAATGTTATCTTGTTTACTATAGCATTTCTAATAAAAAAATGTTGGTACCTAGTGTTTTGGAACGACTTCGTCCCGTAGTTGAAATTGTATACAAAAAACTTGGAGATTGCACAGGAAGAATCGAAATGCGATCAATGAGAAAAAAATTACGTTTTCTATTTCGGTCAATTCAAAAGTTCACTGTTTAAAAGTCTAAAGTCTATTCGGGACACACCTCATACCGCATGCGAACGGGGAATATGTTACTAACCAGGTGTTGGTTTATGCCCGTAGACTCCGTTGAACATTGCAGGAACCCTGATAGAGCCACCCATATCTGATCCGATTCCAATAACTGATGCTCCAGAACCCAGGAGAGCTGCCTAGTGGACAAAAGTGTTCTGTTGGTTAAAAAGGTGTTTTTGGTTGATGATAAAGTTGAGCGTGCTATTTATTACTGATGATACTTTAACATAGCTGTTTGACTCTCAGCGTGATCGATTAAGTTTTCCATGATATTCTTGGTGAAATTATTGACTCCCACGTACAATTTAATGATAAACAGTTGGATTTATCAGTTAATAAGTTCAATATTCACTCTAAAGCTCAAGATATGAGCTTGAAAGTATGGTAATAGGTCCCAAAGGAAACGACGTGAGGAAGGCTTATACCACGCAAACACATGATAAATATGGTACCCATGGATTATGTGCCAACATTCAACCACAAAATACTTGAAATTCTTGTTAAATTCAATCACTACTTGTGTATCAGGCATTAAAGTAGAGTAGGGTCTGATTGAAATTTGGTGCGAGTACTTATTCCTTTAGAGGAACAAGTTCAAATCTTGACGTGTTCCGGAAGCCTAAGATTCTAGACGTCAATCAGCCAAATACACGATGTGTGAAAATTTTACACCGGGTATAATAAAAGCTGAATAAAGCTGCGCAAAACAAAACTTTCCAAGCCCTGCCTACGTTGTTAAATGGTAGAAATTCATTTCGCTGCTGCTGCTGGGAGCTAACGCAGAAGTGCTAATTTTTCGTGCGTATAGGGTTTCTTCAAGATGGATTTGAGACAGATGGGGCATTCTCACGATGAGTGCCTCGGCTCTCAATACAATTTGTCACTCCTATTTATCTTAAAAAAATTCACAAGAAGTTTACGGTCTAAAATCTAAATAACTCCAAAAAAACTCGCCTACTTAGACACATGACCCTCTTTCCAAACTTAGAGGTCGAAAGTTCCGGGTGTAGCACCCAGATCAGTCGAAACTACGGCTCCAGGATTCGGATATTTCAGTCTCTGAGCTCGGAACTAGCGGTATGTCTATATAGCCCGTAACTTTTTGTTTGTGAGCGTTACTTTATTTTGACAAATAGTACTCCAATTAATTTTGGAACATGCAAAAAATATTGCAGATAAATTTCTTTGGGAGTATTCACCTCTCCTCCGGAAGATCCTCCAGATGTACGGAATCTATTGTACGGATTGTTCGTCCTTCCGGTGATGAAATTATAAGTCTCGATGGAACAGCATAATTCTGGAGTATTGGAGACTAATATCGGTATAGCGCCAGCTTTGACGAGCTTTTCCACCGCCGCACCGTTCTCCATGGCTTTCATGCCGTCTCGTAGAGTGCATCCCACACTGAACCTCATACCTGAAAAATAGAAGTAATCGTTGTCAAATACTACATGATGCTCCACCGACATAAAATTGTATCACCGTTTCAGGCGTTTTGTAATAACTGATTTATTCAAGCATATACATAAATTTAAACTCTCTAACAGGTTTCGATCAGCGAAAGATGTACAGGCTTGATGTAAATTCCCGATTCGACCTTGCTGAGATTCATTTCGATGGTATTCACAGCTTGTACAAGTAGTCTTCTTCTCTTCATCTTGTGGGTATTCCTGTTTACATTTTGCGGTCAAATTGAAACTTTAATGGGTCAGAAATCTTCAATCCTCTTAATGAAATGTTGCTTGTTTTTCACTTTTCTCCCTCCCCGTTCTCTCACCTTTCTCCCCCCTTTCTCCCCCCTTTCTCCCCCCTTTCTCCCCCCTTTCTCCCCCTCTTTCTCCCCTCCCTTTCTCCACCTCTTTTCTCTATGTTTTTTGAAAACACAGACGGAAAATATTGAAGGTGTGTAATTGAAAAGTTACGACAGCGAGTTTCAACTTGTCCACAGTTGATATTCCCCAGTTTGTGTTTCTTTACACGTTACCTTCATATGATTTGAGTAACCTAAGTACGAAAATTATGTTCTGACTGATCGGGTTGGATTATGACACTTAGTTACTTACTTTTTCACCCCATGTAAATATCTCGGTCGTCAAAGTTGGCATGGTGACAGCCTAAAGTTTGACAACCGAGATGTTTACATCGAGCGAAAAAGTAAGTAACTAAGCTTCAAGCTACGAAAAGACAAAAGCAAGAAAAATACGGATCCAGAAATTCGGCAACGTTATTCTCTCCTCTTTTAGTCCTTTTAACCTATGAAAACGAATCTACTCTTGGAAGGGCATGGGTACTCTGCCGAGAATCGATTATTCAACTTAGGTTTAAATGGAGAGAAAACAATTATGTCAATTTTCTGAATTCGGCGATGAAAAAGTAAGTTGTACTTTAACACTGAAGCCTAGAGATGGAGAGGATACAAGAAGTTTGGATCCCTCCTCCAGTACAATTTTCTCAAGAAATGATCACTTCTCGAAATAGTCCGGGAATTTTATGATCCTCGGACTTAAATCAAGCTCATACGGAGACAATGCGACGTATTCACAGAAAAAAATAATTTTACTATAAAATCGCAATTTTAAGTAAGACTCTCACAATGACTATAAGCAAACTCTAGCCCTAAATTTATATTCGGTTGAGTTCGCACGCTATTCTGCCGTGACAGCGAAAAGAGCAGTAAGTGCACGCTGGGATAAACCTCGAGACACATAAAAGCATGTGCTAATCATGGCTCATACAGAAATGCAATGCACTTACTGTTCTCTTCGCTATCACGGCAGTATAATGGGCTCAGTAGTTTGACGAGGTGAACCGCACGATAGCTAAAGTATTTCACAAACACAACATGGTTTATTACATTTTTTTTGGATGAGAATGATCACGTACTACAGAATGTTGTTTTTATTTTGAAGATTGGCAAGATTTTCAGGACCGGAATTAAATTTTGGCTCTAGCCCATCGGGCTGAACTCAAAGCGGGTACTGTAAATTGCGTCACAGAAAAGGAAACACTGGTTCCTAAAACGAGTCAAAGGAGGTGGGAGGGGTGGGGGCGTATAAACGTTAGTTAACTGCCTGTATTAAATCTCATCGAGTAGCGAGTTTGTCTGACGACAAGTTTAGCGAGCATGGTCATTGCCGCTTTTTCGGCGATCCAAGGACAATTTTCACGGGCAATGAGCTGTTATTAATTACTCGCAACCTGTTAAGTTCGCTTTAACGGCTTTCGTCCAGCCGTTACGACCCATAACTATCTACATGAAAGTGAACTCTTATGACCGTAACTGTTGTTACTGACCATGGATTCTGAAAGCATTTGTATCTGGTTCGATATACTACGAGCGGAAGTTGACACTATACCCTTCGTTTTTCTGGCTCGTTTGGGCCGCGTTAAGCCGAAAGGAACCAAGCCACATCCGTTATTGCCAAATTTAATTAGGCAGTTAAATTTTTTACATGACAAGGGTTCTGCGTATTCTTGTGCAATTTTCAGTGAATATCTACATGGTACGAAGCAAATTCCTTAAAATTTTCAAAGGGATCCGCATCATCGTTCTCTTGTAAAAATTAAATTGCCTAGTTAAATTCAACAATAGCCGGTGTGGCGTGGTTCCTTTCTGCTAAACGCGGTCCGCTCGTGGTAAATCTTGTTAGCGAATTAGAGATCAAGAGATTTTGATCTTTTAATAATTGACGATGAAAGAATCAGTTGTGATGGGTAATCATAAAATAGAGTTTTGACAGTCAGTTAAGAATAATAGGAGGAAAAATTCAAATAAATAATAGTTGTAATACAAAGTAATTATATAAGCATGTATTTGTACCTATATGGTAAATATTACTGAGCTTTATCATTGCCTCAGAAATATGATGAGATCTACAAAATCAAATTTTTTTGCATTGGATACCAACTGAACGATACTCCGATTAAATTAATTTTGGTGCCCTTTAAAGACGTACAGTTGCATCATTTTAAACTTGCCGTTGTGCGCTCCGAGCATGTTGGATTAGAATTTTAAATAGCTTTTTCTCGAAACTGTATCTCTTAAACTAGTGAATTCAAACCCGAATAATTTCAGTTGAATTCGAAATTTTAGGGCCTTCTCTGTCCCAAAATATTCGGAATATACTCTTTAATTCTCTTGTGACAATGACGCAGCTTTGAGTTGTTTTGGACTAAAGTGCTTTCCCTCGTAGATTAGAGTCCCTTTATACTGAGAGTCAAGACAATTCGGCTCATGGATGTCACAAACGGGAATAAAGATTACAGAAATTGAACGTTTTTTGTAATCTTTGATCGGCCCATTCTCAAACGCCTTTCTCCGTTCCTCCTCTCATTCCGTTTGTTCCTTGCCGAACCCGTAATTCCCATGGTCCATTCCAGATTATAATCTTTGCAATTGGTGAAAATGTAATCTTTATTCCCGTTTGTGACACTGTGGAGGCCTAAAATACGGGAACCAATCAGAAATGGATTCAAATTGTCTTGACTCTCAGTATAAAGGGACTCTATCGTAGATATGGTCACCCATTTAGACAAGTCTTAATTATATCAAAGTTTTTCGATCTGATTTCCTGCTATATTTGCTCATAGGGTGACACGTGTCAAATTGAATTAAGTAAATAAACATTTTTGGTTTCACACGTGTGCAGAATACGAAGTGTGCTTCATTAAAAAATAATAAATAGATTCTTTGACCTGGTGTTTTTATTGATCGCCAACTATCACCTCTCATTAAACTGTTCTATATTTAACGTTAGGAGGGAATGGGGGAAAAAAAGACAAAGAAAAAAATCATAGTCTTAGGAGTGGTGCTCACTGCTCAGGTATTGGCATTAAATAGAAAAAACTCTAGGAATCAGTGGCGACACGTGAATGATGGATTATCGATATTACCCCATTTGAAGCTATGATAAAGAATCGATTATAAAGGTGTTCGTTGCGAACACCCTGTTTATCGATCTTTTTCCACGGGTTTAAACGGCAGATCAAACAATACATCGCAAAGCACGCCATGCCACTGCTATAAACTTTTTTCTTAATTTTACCATGACGCATTTTCCCCCTTTTACACACAGAAAAAAAGACCCAAATATTTTTTTCCTCCTTCAAGATCATTCATGGTTTATTGCCCTAATGTTCGTCTACGGTAAAACTTGTGCAGCTTTACGTGGCCGAGTGAAGGAATTCTTAATCGACCATTGATGCTATATACAGCATGTAAAACAAATCTCACGTTTTCTCAGATATTTGCATGGGACATCTATTGGCCTTGAGGTACCTATCAAGCACCTTTCATTCAGACCACATTTTTTTTTTTTTATAAAAATGTGAGAATCTAATACAGTAGGCACAATTCGTTGCCTCATAAAAATGATTCGGAGTACCTATTCATTATTTCCTACAAACATTTATTGCTTCCTTTCCTGTCCGTCCGTGTTAATTTTTATAACATTTCTTCAATTTTGATAAGAAGAAGTATCATGCTTGAGCCTTATTTTTGCCACAAAAACTATGAATAATCGGACTTAATTGTAAAAAGAGACCAGTATTCCTGACTGACACACACGAAGGCATATATTTGTATAGGGAAAGTAATGGCACATGTGTATTTTGTAAAATGAGCCAAAAATAGTGGCTCAATACTGCAGAATGTAGTCAAATGTAAACATGAAGCTGATATTCTCATTTCTCCCTTCCCTCACACAATTGGCATCTATAGGAAAACCTATGAGTCGCTCTAGTCCCTAAAAATCATAAGATTCCGAAAAATTAACGCACGTATGTAAACAGTCAATAAAACATTCATTTCACAAGAGCGCGAATTTTATGGGCAAAATATTACGTATTCACCTGCTTTACGTCCTCACGTTATCAGTCAATGACCCAACGATTTAGGGTTTCTCCAAGAATAAAATGTAATTTCTCATTCGACTGCTCATTGATTAAATTGATTCTATTTATGTATTTATTGATTGCACTCCTTATCAGCTAAGATAAAAAGTAAGAAAAGTTGCCGTTTTTGTCAACATATTCGGCCGTACAAGCTTCTGAAACTCAAAAACTGGTGGGGCCGATCAAAAAACGGTGTACATTTTTTGTGTTAGAGGGTACGTCAGAAATTGACAGTTTAAAAACGCCATCAATTTGCTTCCTGGCGTTTTGCCTCACGGAAAATGTGCAATTTGCCTCCCTTCTTTAGGTAAAGTTTAGAGCATAGGATAAAAGAAGAGGAATGGAAGAGACGGAGACCTTTATAAAAATGCTTCACGACCCATGATTTGCGAGATCAAGTATTTTTTGCACTCTTGGGATACAAATAGATGCATCAAGTGCGGAAACATGTATCTTTATCTGCGAATTTACAAACTTCCCGCCATACTTTATTCTTTCTTTAGAAAACAATAAGTCTAACGTAATTTCTTAAAATTCGTCTTGATTATTCTTTTCTACTTGAAGAATATTCTGTATAAATTTTAAGATAGATCGAGTACCCATTTCAAGCTATGAGGTTTGCTTATTTCTCTTCAAAAAGAATAATTTAGGAGAAGAAATTTTGAAAAACGCACTGAAAAAATAAATCCGGCTGTGAAAGCCGCACTGACGAGCTGTCTAGACAAACCGTCCGCGTTCCGGTCTCGGAGACCGAAAGTTCCAAGCACAGAGGCCGAAAGTTCCGAACGTAGCGCCCGGAGCAATCTAAGCTACGGATCCAGCACCCGGAACTTCCAGCCTCTGAGCCCGGAACGGGCGGTATTTCTATATAACCCTTGAATTTTTTCAGTGCCCCATTGGAAATATGTGGTTTCGCACTTTGACCACAGAAATACTAAAGGAGTGAACCTACCTTTGAGTCCGCAGCTTTCTTTGACGGTGAAAGGGACTCCGAGAAGGGGGGTATCCCTCTCGAGTTCCTCCTCGGTTTTGACGCCGGAGTCGATCATTTGGTCAATGGTGTGGGCCTCGTCGATGGCGTTGCAGAACCGGTTCTCCGAGATGGCGTTCAGCACAGGGTTCACCTCGCGGCAGCGCACGATGAACGCGCGAACTATACGCTCGCAAGTGACCTGCAATAAATGACAGTTCACGATTAGTTTAGGTCAAAAAATCCCACTGAAAAAAAGTCACGGGGTGTATAAACATACCGTCCGTTCCGGGTTCAGTGGCCGGAGGTATAAGGTTGCTCAATCGGAAAGAGCCTCCCTAAAAAAGGGCCTTTTTTGGCCCCTTTTCGGGAACCCGGGGATTTCGTTCGTTTGTGGCTTAAATGAAACCTTATGATGAGGTAAGCCTCCAGTAAAAATTTTAGCTTGAGTATACGTCTAGTTTCCGAGATACAGCGTTGCAAAGTTGGCATATTTGAGCTTTAAAATTCTCATATTCTCAGGTATCTTATTTTCTCAGAACGATTCAATTGGATGTTTTATGATATTTTGTGACATTTTATCAAATGTTAGTATTATTATCGAATGCATATTTCAATTGAAACATTAATACTACTAATTCTGTTAAAACAACTTTGCAAAGTTGACATAAAAACCTATAAAAAATGTTCGTTTTATCAAGTTTCTTGACTTAAAAACGAACTTAGTGACGGCTAAAAGATATGCTTTTGGGGTTTAGATGCAATTTTATGATAGACTAAGGCTTTTGTTAAAATTTAACTCAAAATGCAAGTATAGTTTTAATGATACAGGGTTGCAAAGTTTATATATTTGAGCTTTAAAAATGTCTATATTTTTGAGTTCTGTGTTTAAGAAGCTACTTTTGTAGAATTTAATCACGATTTGAGGCAGGAAATCAACCATTTATGTCATCTGTAGATGAATGTTTGTATATGAAGAAGAATTCTTTGACCGGTGGTGATACAGCGTTGCCATGCTTAAAACTTTGAACTCTGTATGGATTATGATTTTTTCTTGTTGAACATGACTTCAATGGTATCTTAACTCGTATCAAGGCAAAATATCAAGGGCTGATGTCAGTCCCAGGTAACGATTGATTTTGGAAAAAATACTGCTGCCAAGTTTATTCATAATTCTTTTCAAACAAAAAATAATAAAATGATTTTAAAATAAAGATGCTTCCAATTTAATTTTTTTAATTTTTTTTATTTTGTTTAATTTTTTTTGGTAATTTGTTTAGACTTTTGTGATTTTTTTATATTTAATTATGAATATCCGTGAAAATATTTTTTTCGATTGATATGTGAGTATAGTCTTGCCTTCAAATATATAGCAAGTACCTCAACATGTTGCCGATTTTTTACTTTTACCAAGTATCTCAATTATTTTGAGGCATCTAGATCAAAGATATGTTTTCAACATGCTCTATACATATATGAGCTTGTTATGATTGGCACTGCCAAGACACTGCACCGTTGCGTATTGAGAAAATGCAACTTTTTTCCAGATATATTTCACTGGGAGACGGATGTATTTTTTATCAGAATGGATGGGTCAGCGAATGCTACCAAGAATTTACATCCAGTGCCGAGATCATAATGTGAATGCTTAAATCCATTTTGAAATACAAGTACGAAACATGACAATAGCCTGGTCCTATTCTCTTCGGAATGCTGTCACTGTGACACAGAGGACAACCCTCAACAAAAATGGAACTTTAGCAACTTATTAATGAAAAAATAGTTAGTAGCCATGCCGAAATAATAATTTTTGACAAATCCATGCAACAATATTTTAATAATTTTAAGTATTTTATTCTTTTAATTTCTTTTTCTATAGATTTATTTATTTAATTTGTTTTTTTTTAATTTTCTCATCATTTGTAATTCTTAAGTCGAAGATATTCTATTCTTTAAGGAACAATGAATGTATTGTCTGTATCAAGATTTATTTGTACTCAAAAAACTGGAGCGTTTCCATAGTTTATGTTCATTTTTGCATTCTGCCTAAAAAAAGTAAAATTGACAACCAAGGCAAGGTAGAATTTTTTAGATTTTGAAAGCAACACTGATGCTGAGCCATTCATTGTATGCCATAAATTCACTTGGATTACGTTTTAAAATCAGACAATTATTGGAAGTATATCCTTATTTTAAACTTATTTTATAATGGAATGTTAATAGAAACTTAAATAAAATTGGCAACCGTGCCATTTTAATTCCAATTTTCACCTAGGATTGACAAAAGTCCTCCACATTTCTTTGTTTCACAATATCACTTATCAACATTGTTCAATCTTGTCTTCAATAAAATAACACAAAATAGACATTTTCCCAGATACAAGTTGAAAACTTTGCAACACTGTATTATCGTATCCTTTTATAAATTAAACAATGCATCTACGAGTATCACTAATTTTTGATTCTATGCCCCAAAATACAGTTCGATCTTCAGTAATAGCGGTTTGTGAATGAGAAACTTTAAAAAATGAGCTTTTTAAAGCTAAACAATGTAAACTTAGCAACGTTGTACTGCCAAAACAAGGCTTACGCATGAGTAAAAATTCTTACTGGAGACTTTTCATATTATAATTTATCGTGTGCACCTCGTGTAAGTATTGTAAAGTCATTTTTGAAGTTGGTTTTTGGAAGAAAATCCATAAAAATATGAGAATTTTAAAGCTCAAATATGCCAACTTTGCAACGCTGTATCTCTCGGAAACAAGACATATACTCAAGCTAAAATTTTTACTGGAGGCTTGTCTCATCATAAGGTTTCATTTAAGCCACATACGAATGAAATCCCCGGGTTCCCGAAAAGGGGCCATTTTTAGGGAGGCTCTTTCGGCCTCTGAGCCCGGGATGGACGGTATGTCTACATGACCCGTAATTACAGCTTTTATAGCCGAAGTTTAATTTCGAAGTCTTAATCTAAAGTTTCCTAGAAATCTCCATTCAATAGAGCAATGGTCGCCAGGTCCTGCAATCCTAAGTATCAAAGTACTTACTATTACATTATGCGTTCGCGGCTTTTTTCCAAGGAAGTAGAACGCTCGCTGTTATTTTCACGAAAATGAAGTGAGATCACCGTTTTTGCCATCAATAGTAAGCGCGCGTGGAATAATATAAAAACAAGTACGGGTAAAGAAAAAATTACTTGAATAATAAAATATTTTATTATTCTTTTAACGATTCTGTAATCTTTTCCTAATGTAAAACTACACATAATTAAAACTTGACATACCTCTATACCGTACGCGCGCGCGCGCATTTCATGCAAACAATGCACTTTTAAGGCTTCTATTTCAGACTATTATAAATGAGTAAATGAAAAGAAGAAGATTAGTCGGTTTATTTTGTGTAATAAATTATATTTGTCAACATTTCAAAAGACAATGATCCACTCAGAGTGTACCTAAATGTACAAAGATTTCTAAATCATAAGTGAATGAACGCTGGCCGCGCGAGTTTGAATGATCACGCTTAACATAGTGCGGCCGGCGGCGGCGCAAAACACATAATATGAGCGCCTACGAGATTGCAAAAATACTTCACGCACTGCGCGTACAACACACCATGGTGCAAACCGTATGTTAGCGCCCACAAGACTGCAGGAATACTTCACGCATTGCGCGCACACCGGAAAAATTCCAAGGTGATCTGCTGCCTATACTTTCATTCATTATTTTCTGACAGGCTAACAATGCTGGTCAGTTTTGTTTTATAACCAATAGGTATAATATACGGATTGTGCCAAATACTGAATATTGAACAACGGAAAAACAGTAGCGTTCGTTTTCTGACCGAAAATTTAGAGGAAGAGCAGTTGACACAAAGGAGGTGTGTGAGAGTTACGCATGTCGAGATCTTGCCATCAATTTTTGAGGTAGGCCAGTACATACCTTCTCACAGCAATAGTCTTAGAATTCGAGGATTTTTGTCTCGTGTTATCTGCAAATCTGGCCTCGTGATAATTTATTTTAAGATCTTACATGGTTTTTTTTCCTTTTCTGGGTCTTACTACTGGGGTCGGTTACTTTTTCTTACCATGTACACTGTTTTTTTTATTTATTTATTTATTTTTGTGTACGTTGGTAAATATATAACGCACACATAGTAATGGAGTCAAATTCATGGGAGGGTGCTATTTTCCTTTGCAAAAAATGCTATCGTGAAAATATAGCCGCAAGTGCCGCAGTCCCAACGCTGTAGTCGCGTGGCACCGTCGCGTTAAGACGCTAATTGTTTGTATTGCATGTATGATGTTTAAAGGTACAAACCTCTGTTCTTGTAGTACAATATAGAAAAGTAAATAATACATGGCACAGCGGAAGAGTCTTTTTCCGCTCGGATACCGGTATTGCATGGATTTTTATCCTTGATCTCGGTATCCACTTTAGCCTGTCAATATATTCTTTGAAAATCATTTATACTTATATCTTTTAGTACCATCGACGCTTAGTGTTAGGTACACATATTTTGTGGTAATGCTGTTGAAAAAGTGCGTTTGGATTGGATCTCAGAGAAGTAAAAGTATACCTATTTTGCGATCATAAAAAAAACAAACGGCAAATTTCTACGTCATGGGATGTTGTCAATTTTTCTTTCATTAGGTACGCGATTATTTTTCAAGGACGTAATGTGGATTAATAGAAGGAGAGAGTTGAAGCGTCAAAAAAATATTGCAAAAAAAACTTTGAGCCTCAGGGGATCAGCGGTTTGAGAGCTTAGCGATTATTTCTCGGCACGTGTCTGAAGAGGTTTCCTCTAACACAATTTGGTCGATGAAAAACTGAAAATCGGATGGTCATGATGAACATCCAACTTAGCATGACGCTTGAAACAGTATGTGAATCACACTTAGTGGAAACAAAATTGACCCCAAAATGTAACGAACAGCAGACTTGGCTTGAAATTGCGTTGCTTATATTCCAATGAAATAGAGGTTATTCTTATTAATCTTATCTGCAATTCATGTATCCAAAAACTTCCCGTCAAAAATGGCACAAAATACTGAAGCAGGAAGATCGGCTCAATTCACGATTATCTACCTCAAGATTCGCGATGTTTGTATTTGCATGGGTGGTCGGATTCATGAATTTATTATACTAATATTAAAACCGTTTTTGTATTTGATGATATGATCAATGATATATGTGTATA